ATATATATGCCTGGCCTTTCCCTTCAAGCTGTACGATTTGTAACAAGAGTTCTCAAGACGGATTTGATTGGAATTCTGCATGTTCTCGAATAGATGTCTGTGTTTTTTGTCGCGATTCGCATATGCCATGTTCTACCGTGTATTGTTAATTGACTCTTTCTATTTCCAAAGTCTAGTACTGTGATACCGGATGAAGTCTCTGAATCCCGTGCTATATTCCAGCTCAGAAATACTCTTTGTATATCTACTATATCTCCCAGAATTATACTTCTTGCCATTTAGCACAGTCTCATTTCCAACGAAAGTTCCCCATCTTTTGAATCTAAATACCTTGCCATTTAACAGTCCGGCACAATGCCTCAGAGATATTTATTGCAAGCTATTCACATTTAGAACTTAAAATATATTACCATTTATGCTTAAATATGCGACATGCAACAAACAGCTAGCTGGTTGCATTGATGCGCCGAATAAGTTAGGCCCTCTTTAGCAAACATAATCCAGGAGCATAAGTTATACCCAAGTTATTCTTCGATGGCACTAATTTATAAGCGGAGTTTCTTCCTAGCGGTTCTCTAGTTTTCGTTCTCTAGGGCAGTTTACAGCGCATTTTGTAGCGTACATGCCGCGCCTATTTAGCATTCTACCCACCTTTCTTGACTGCGCTATAATTGCTTGGGCAATACGTTGTACTAGTTATAAAAATACAAAGATATAGTAATGAGTACTAACATATTACTTACTACTTCTGCAGCATTGAAAACAGTGTTATCAGGGGCTTTAACAGTTTCTCATAGGGGTCAAAATCTATCTGGCGCTAGTAGTTCGGGTTGTGGGGCGAGGGAAACTCTATTTTAAGGTTGTTCTTTTTTGTATAGATGTTTATGCCTTCTCTATGGTAGAGGAAGCCTGTGGTGCTCTTGTTGTTATAATTCAAGGAGTTCGTTGGTTTAATTGATTTGGAAAAGGGAAGTGACAGCCTGGAATTCTGCACAGCAGCACAGGGCCTTGGGGTGTTTCTTGTATGTCTTGCATGTGCGACGAAGAGCGTAGCGTACTTCTTGTCCATACAAATGATCATTTTATATTTGCCAAAGAGGCCTTAATTAGCTAGAGGTCTGCATTTTAAACACTGCGAAACCAAAATATGCATGCCATTACAACTCGAATATACTCGTCTGCACTTTTCTCTGAACCTGGTGATTGTTTTTCCTCGACAACTTTGATAAGTCATACTCCGCGCCACTTGACGGGCTTAGATCCGACGAAATGCTAGGCTCCAAATAAGAAGTCTCATTTTAAGATTCCTTTGGCCCATTATCTTTCTTGCGGTGCTGCGGGTTGATACTGGGGTAAACAAACAATCATGAATGCAGGGTTCACGGTGAAAGCCTCCACTGTCATCAGACTTGGGGAAAATGCGAGTAGGCTAGGCCACCAAGGACCAGTAACTGGTTCGCCGCTAAAACATCTTCTAAAATTGAACTCTCCGTGGGACTGTCTGAAAGCAGTAAGTTCTGCTAAGTTTCAATTAGTTTTCTTCTTCAGGCTCTCATGATTGGATACCAAGGAATAACTTCTAGTAATTGACTCATGTATTATGATCTTTGAAAGGTTTCTTGTTTTTGGACCCACCCACTTGTGAAAAAATGTATGTATCTGGGCATACTACCCCATCTAGCTAGGTAATGCCGCAAAATAATATGCTTGCCCCCTCTCGCCATGACCATCATGTGTAATTTCTCCATGGGACAAGGAACACCTAGCCTGCGAGCTATCCCCGCAGCTATCCACCAGAGAACTGTGATTTATGATGTACTTGCGGGCAGTTGATATTTGTTGAGGCGGCCATTCTTGAGCCGTGGTTCTTCGGATGTGGAACTACTATTGATGGGGCAGTCGATAAATAAGGTTGGGCTCATGGCTTCTGAGAAGGCAGGGGCTTGTCCCTATACTTTACAAGAAAGCCTCGGCCAGTGTAGGGAGAGGGATGGGGGTGGGCGGGTTTAAAATTGAATGTATTGATATCAAACGCTCAAACTTATACCTTCGTTGGATTCAGCTTCTTTTTCCTTTTTGATTATATAGGTGTTGCTTGCTTGCTTATAACTGAACGCCTTCTCATCACTAAACCTAACTTTGGTTCACTCGCTACTTCCCCTTTTGTTTGAATGGCATGATGACATCTGTTCATTAATGAGAACAGCACGCCCACAATACCGTTCCCTTATGCCGGTAGGCTAGCGCCAGCTTGACCATTCCCTAGGTCGAGTGAACGCTTAAAGCTACCAGCCCTATCACCGCCATAGTCAAGCGCGCACAACCACTCTCTAATCAAAGATCTATCTTTTCGCAGAGGCTTATACCGTGATTCGTCCGTATTGCATGGTTATCACTCTTTCAACGGCACTTATCCTCTCAACGACAACCTAACGTGTAGCTAGTTCAACAGCGCCTTCGATCTACGGCTCTAATTGATCCCAGATCAGACAAGAGGGTATTTTCTCATCTCGTCATATATAAAAATCGAAAAGGCTAACTTACGCATACTTGCGGGTTGAGCTTATAGTTAGTCCATATTGCCGGCTCCACGCCCAATTCGGTTACGGCCCAGGGTTTCATGGAACCTACACCACAGACATATACTTTCCGGCTGTACTAAGTCTCTCGTAGCTGTAGAGTAATGGCAATTGTTATCTGGACTGCGAGTTTTTCTTCCTATATACGAAGAGGTCAAACCCCCACAAAAGCTGATTCTTCTTCCTCCTCACAATATTCAATCTCCATCGTTTCAGACATTCAGTACAGAACCACCGGCAACATACATCTTGTATCTTCTTACCCCATCTATTGTTAGAAGTGAGAGTCTCAAAGTTCAACCCGAACACCTTCCACGATGTCCAACATCAGTCCAAACCCCTTCAGATCGCCATCCCCTGACGCATCGCCGAGCTCATCCATCTCCTTGGGCTCACCCACTTCCTTGAGCTCACCCACCTCCTTTGCCTCCTCAGGCTGGACTTCTGTGAACGATTCAAGCTATAGTTCCACCAACGTTCAAATTCCCACTTTCAGACAAGCGCGAGAGAGCCTCTCGGAGACAAAATGGTCTGACGACGAGGTTGACGTTGCGCATATTTTGGTTAGAATGAAGCATGATATTCCAGCAGTTGGTCACCCAAATCCCCAGCCCGAGAACTCCCAGCATGCCGCTACATCGAGTGTTGCACCAGTTTCACTAAATGTACCCCAGCTCAGCGATGTTCTGAACGGCACTGGAGCCCCTCTACAGCAAACACCAGTCTCTGGCCCAAATCCCGGAAAATCCTCTTCCGTTTCATCGGGAGCCCTATCCAGTTTGGGAGAGGGTGATGGCCAGCCTACAAACGACACTGGAGCCCCCACCAAGCCTCGTACGCCACTCGTCAACCATCGCCCCGAACAATTTGATTCTGCAGGCCGTACCCACAAGTCGTGGAGGAACGACTTCATCCCAGGTCAATTTGCCGCCTTGGGATTACAGCAGGGCGTATACGAAACGGAGCACGTCCCAGGCAAGAAACAACAGCCATCTCTCAACTCCAAGAAGCCATCCGCCGCCTTCTTGTCATACGCCATCCTCGCCAAGGTACCTGGAGGTGTCATGACCAAACGAAACATCTGGAAAACCATGTTGGAGTGGAACACCGGGACGGAATGGAAAGAGCAAACGGCCGCGGCTTCCCTTACCAAGAACCCCGAGACTTTCGCATTCAATAATGATACGACTTGGTACATCCTGAACATCGATGAGCAAAAGCCAAAGTGCGGCAAAGGAAAGCCCAAAGTGGACAAGTCTAGCAGATCTGGCGAACCACCATTGAAGAAGCGAAAGACCCAGGCAGATCACTTAAACTGATGTGCTTGCAATGGTGGGAATAGGATGAGAACATCGCACCTGTTCTTGTCCACTTGCCACATTTTGTTCAGGGGAGACATTGGGACTAATCAGAGGAAGGGGAAAAGGACAAAAAAAAAAAGAGCATGAGGAAAGTTTGATAGATTGACTAGCATGAGAGTTGGATTGAAAGGAATAGGAAGGACAGGTAATTGGAAGGGCAGGTAATTGGGAGGACAGGTGTACTTTGTATTGTTTATTGCATCCAGTAAAAAAGTGTATTGTTTCAAATCTGTTCATCTCCACAGTAAGTGACTCGACCAAAAAAATTGCAATTGCAGTGAGAAGAGATTCATTGTAATTTATTAACACACGTCACACCCTCTACTCCGTTTATCCCTGGTATTTGAAACGAGATTGTACATGAAAAGGAGGAACGCCCGATTATCTCTTGACGACAGATACAAGGAAAGCCTGACGCAGTGTGGTATAGTGGTAAGTCGTTGTGTTGGAGGAGAGGAACATTTACTGTTGCTTCTTAGGGGAGAGAACCTCGAAGCTTTCTGTTATCAAAGAGTTAGTGAAGGAAGGCAGTGCATGTCTCGAGCGAATACCCACTCTGAACAATATTCAACGAGCTTCTTGGCTTGTTGTCTGCATCAGTGTATTGAGACATGGAAGCATCGCCCTCGACGTAAACAAGAGTTCTGTACACATATTTAGTAAGCACCCGTCCTCCTCTAAACAGAACCCTCCCTTCCCCGAGTTCTCACACCCCCCAGAAAATGCATTGACATACCCCTTATCCAAGCTCGATATGAAATCTCTCTGCGGGCCCTCTGGCAAGAAACTCGTAATCCGGAACCAGTTCGTCTTCTGGTTGTCCCGCGGGCCGCTGTTGGTTCCAACGGCGTATCTCAATACCTCCTGTCCCGTGCTCGTTGCTTGCAGCTCGGGAGTATCAGCTAGACGGCCAATGATGGTCATCTTTGCGAACGAGGATCGTGGGGCGGAGGTTGAGAAGGCGCGGGCGCTGCTTGGGAGCACGCGTCGAAGGAGGAAGGAAGACATGCTTGGAGATGGATAATCTAAATTCGGGTTGCTCGTCGTGCTGAAGGGCTTTTCGGAGGGGAGATCTAGGGTCTTGGTACGATGTTTGGGGTTGGGTTTGGGGAATTGTTGATGGAGGCGCAAGTTGCGATGCTTCAAACTTGCTCGAGGTTAGACGCGATTTTCTGCTTAGGGGTTCGGCAGAATATAAACACGTGATCAATCTCGACGAAAACGGAAATTCCGCTCTGCGTACCTTCAGGCGGGATCACAGTGATCACAGACAGATTCAATACCAGGTGAGCGTCTTCCTAGTCATTATTGTTCAGCTTTTAAGGAGTCCTGTGCCATTTCTCACGTGGTGAAAGTGTCCAGTAAATGTTGCACACCGTGATTGCCACAAGCTCGCTGCTCGAGGGGAAGTCGTTGAATCCTGGGGAAACTAGGGTTACGAGATAGGCCTCATACAGTACAGTAGAGACGACAGTCAAGTGCGTGCCGCCTTCTCCGTCAAGTGACATGTCTTCGGAGATAATACGAAGTACATTGAACCGAGACATCCCTACTCCTACATTGTACAGCGCATCGTGCCGATATCAAGTAGCAAGTAGCAGGTTGACCTGGTAAAAGCACCGTCTTTAGTATGGAGGCACTCCGCACTTTTGTGATAGATATACTATGCTGTTCCACTACAGAATGCAGCAATCCGTAGCACTGGCGATTGAGCAGAGCATGATAGGGTGCCGGCACAGAGTCGTTCCTGGTTACTCGGAACCTTTGCGGCTACTTACATTATCTTGGTGTCTCTTGTGCAACCTCTGAGACTTTTCTGGATGAACGCACGAGAAACGTCAATTTGGATCTGTCTTACCTCCATACAATACACTCGGGATCGAGAGTTGGGACCAGCAGTGCGGTGTCAGCTACAGATTGGCTAGAGGACCATTCAACGTGTTCCTTGGACGCGTCTCCCGACGCGCGACGAGGCTCGAGTTGACTGGCTGACCATGCAGCGGGATTCTCAAACTACTTCCGCGTTCTTCAAACTGATCCTGGATGTCGATGTCGTTCTCGGATGTCGTTCTCGGAGAATTGGGCTGAGCTAGCCCCTATTCAGCAAAAGGTTAATTAACCCCTGAATGATTGAAATTGCTCTTACGAAGTAAAATCCCACATTACGGAGTATTCATCGTGCAGTACCGGACTATAGCCCCTCAATCCTACCTCGTCTACTTCTCGAGACTCTACTCGAGTAATTTACCTACTGTATGTTTGGCAAGAAGCCCAGCTGAGTTAAAGATTGAGTGTGTAGGTAATTACAACATACAGTAGCTTCAAACAGCACAAACGTGATGGAAGACAAGGGTACAGGTAGAAAGAAGTAAAAATAAAGTCTATAAGATTACTCCGTACGGCTTTTGACTTTCCCATACAGTAGCTACCACCCCTGACTACCTAGGTACCTATGCTATGGTCCTATGCAGAACTAGATCAGCCCACCACATCAGCGCTAGCCGAAGTCATAATTTCGCTTCTCCAACCTCACTTCTCCTTATGGCCATCTCTTCCTCCACCACGCTGCACAGAATCGATACGCATCGCCGGCGTCAGGGGAACACAGCAACCGCGGGACAAAGGATTTTTACATGGTGCCTCGCTCGGGTCTCAACGTCATGGCCTTTCTTTTTCCGGCCATCCCGTACCTAGACTGGTGACTGGTGGCTTTGACTCTGTTCCATCTCAGCTATACGTCGCAAGCACCCTGCAACACGTTGTTGTCGCAATTCCCATATCCAATTACGAGTTAGTGCCGAGGCCTAATGGAATCCAAGTGGTCGTAGTCTTTCTCGTCTTGCAGCCGCTAGATGACCGAGTCCTATGGTATGGGGAGCTGCGAACACATGGCAGACAGGCGGCAGTTGCAGGCAGGTAAATGGACAGCTGGGGATCAAGGACTGGCCCTATTCATAAAGTTTACTTTACATGTTTGTATGTACCTCCGTATGTACTCGGGAATTTCTACCGAGATCAACGCCGTGATGTCACTTTGGCTGGTTGAGAAGTTGAGAGACGGTGCTCTGCTTGCGCGGGCACCTGACGGGGTGTCCCGCATAGGGACATGGTAATCTCACCTTGACGCCTCGCACTACAAATTCGGACCTTGCCATGTAGCTATGCAAGTCCCAAGCCTTCTTTTCTGCTCTGCCCCTCGAGCTTTGACTCACTTTAATTTTATCCCGCTTCAATCTCGTCTCTCATTCGCCAGCGTTTTACCAGTTTTGAGGGTTTGCGTTCAAAATCTACTTCCGAAGTATTCACAATCTCATCCTTGTAGCCCTAATTGCCGATCAGATCCGGCCTAGTCGTACCCTGGCCTCCTACCCTTTCACCCACCCACTCACTCCATCCATCCTCCTAAGATCCCTCGGCCGCAAAGAATTATCTCAACCTCATTCTTCATTGCCTATCTATTTTGTCCACCAGCAAAGCCAGCAGGATCTGCGCCAATGCTACCGACCCTCATTAGCTATTGAAAGCTTCGACTTACACACTTTCGTTTTGTGAGAGCCTTGCCCTCATCGTCATATCGTACTTCCCACACTTGTGGAGAACCATTCACAGTTCCCACCATGGTCCATGCTGTAAGGTCAAAGATCTTAGCAATACTACTACTCTGCTTCTGCATCAATATCGTTGTCGCGGATCGATGGGGAGTTCATATTCACAGGCGTGATGGGCCTACAACTCCATCAATAACCTCTACGGAGACCTCACTATCACCTTCGAGTACGAGTACGTCATCGCAGACCGGAGGAGATTCTTCAGGGGATAGTGAAGGACAATCTAAAACCGACAAGACAAGCGACGAGACTTCCTCTGACCAGCCAAAGTCGACTACAACTAGTGTTACTACCACCGATGCCAGTTCCTCGTCCGACTCAACCGCAAGCGCAAGCGCAAGTTCAACTACCAATGCATCTGCTGTGACATCTAATTTAGTTGGAGCAGCTCCCACAGCTACAATCAACAATAGTTCTATATTCAATTGTATGCAAAATTACGATTTCAATCTATATGTGAATGCTAATATTAGGTAGCTACCGCCACGCCTGAGAAACTACCACTCGCACCACAACTCACACCAGGTTTTGGAGTCGCTGGAGCCATATTGCTGATTAGCGGGGCAGTATATACTGTTATCGGGATCAAGAACAAAATGCTCCATGTGTTCCTGTCGGCAGGCTACCTCGCAAGCTTAGCAGTTTCGGTTCTCATTCTCTATGTCATGAACTTGCCTGTTAGCAATGCTGTTCAAGGAGCATACGTTGTCGCTGCCGTCATGACCGGCCTCGTTATCGGCGGAGGAGCAATTGTATTCTCTGAGATGACTGAAGGTTTAGGCTCTCTGCTGGGCGGCTTCTGCTTCAGCATGTGGTTGCTTGTCCTGAAACCCGGTGGACTTTTGACTAGTACTAGTGGGAAGTCTATTTTCATTGCGGTGTTTACTGTTGTCAGTTTTGCAACATCCTTCCACCGTTACACGAGGCCATACAGTTTGATGGCATTGATTTCCTTTGGTGGTGCAACTGTAGTAGTCATTGGAATTGACTGTTTCAGTCGAGCCGGTTTGAAGGAGTTCTGGGCGTATATTTGGGATTTGAACAATAACTTGTTTCCGGTTGGGGCAACCACATATCCTTTGACAAGGGGTATCAAAGTGGAAATTGCTGCAATAATCGTCATTTTCCTTGCCGGTATCGTATCTCAGATGAAGCTCTGGAAGGTTATCAAAGAACGCCGGGAGGAACGAGCAGTCAAAAGACTCGCAGACGAGCGGACGATGGCGAAGGAGGAAGAAAATGCCGGGCGAAGAATTGAAGATCTTAATGCGGAAGAAAGGCACCAGTGGGAAGCTGTTCACGGGGACAAGGACCATATTATCAAGGACATTAACCTGTCACAAAGAGACTCTGGTGTCGGCGACATGGATAGCCAGAATAAAGGGGCTATGAGTGTTGTGACATCGATAAGACGATCTGCAGACGATCAAATTGAAATGTCGGAGATGGTGACACCTACAACAGCAAATGGAGCTGGACTTGTCATGTCGAGGAGCGGTCAGGATGGTGGTGCTGTCACTGTGCGTGTTGCTAGGGATCTTGAACCCGAACCAGAGCTTGACGAGAATGGAAATCCAGTTGAACCGGTGCAGACACGCAGAAGTCACGCCTCGGCACGAAGTTCTCTTCAGTTGGATTCCGAAGAGGAAAATGTATGGGTCGTAGGTGCAGATGGAGAAGCGCGATTTGAGAGACGACCCTCCCGACGACATTCTCCCAAGCGAAATTCGAACCCGCCCATCTCGACGAGAGCATCGGGGGCGCCAGAGGTTGTTCCACTCCCATTCAAAGTACCGGAGGGCGATGTAGAGGATGATCGATCATCTGTAGCAACTTTTGCTGATGACGAGCAAGCTGGGCATCAAGATCAAAAACGACAATCGAAACGCCTTTCAACAGGCTCGGCGATATTGCATCGATTTTCCAAGAGATCGCAGAGAAATTCATCGAGACTTTCTAACCGAGTTTCCATTGGAGAAGCGTCTAGCACGGAGGATCTGGTTATACCTCGTGGCATTGAAGACGACCGTGCAAGCTCCATTGCTGCTACTGTGGACGGACTGAGTGATGATGAGGGAATGAGAAGTATACGTTCGTCTATAGACCTAGCGCCAGATACATCAGAAGCCCGATCGCCAAATCTTGACAATCTACCTATGTCTGTGTTATCTCCCCCGTCGAATCCTGATGGTGCTATTTCAGCAGCCGCTTCAGTTCTTCAGGATACGGAGGGTAATTCGAAGCGAGCTATACTCGCAGAATCAATCGAAAAGGAGGGAGAAAAGGCTGGACCCGAAGGTCAACACGAGGAAAATGTCACTGGTCAGTCTCTGACTAGGAGTACAGACCCGAAGCCTGAGTCGAAGGCAGCGTCCACAATTGAAACTCCCGAGCCTAGCCTGGCCGAGAAACCAAAGACAGCCACTTCGGTTGTTTCTGCTGCTGAGTCGAAGTCCGCAGCCATCACCAAAGAAACACTGCCGCCTCAAATGTCCAGAGTAGTAATGTCATACCGGACTAACGAATGGGCAAAACATCTCGGGAATGCCGATGTACCGGAGGTGGAGGAGTTGAAGATAGAGAAATCGCCTTCCGAGGACAAAATCACCGAAGTCGCAGCACCTGTGATGGTAGCAGAACTCCAACAAACTCCCGAGAACGCTTTGCCTCCACCAGCATCAAGGATAACTTCGACAATGTCAAATCACAATGCCCCACCTCTGATCAGATCGAGTTCGGCACAGTCAAAGGCATATCCTGCCCCGTATCAATCAAGACCAGAGACGGCGAATGGCTTTGTTGGTCAGGACAGTGCTATCCAACGGAGCATGTCACAGCAATCAAAGCATAGTCAAACTTCACAAACAAATCTCAATCGGTTCCGAACTTCTTCGAGTCCAGCGATTCCACAAGCTATTGTGGAATCCCCGATAGAAGAGAACTTTCCTTCACAAAGTGTCCCTGGAATGAACCAGGTTCCTATTAATGCTGTTCCGTTTGGAAGCTCTGATACTCTAATCGGAAAACGAGATACAATGATGCGAAATAAGTCGTACTCGTTTCACAACTCGCAAACTGCACTCGCCTCGACCCCTGAACTACCAACGGCGCACGACAGCATGCCGCAATCAAGGGCCGGTAGCGAATCGGGTTCACTCAACAACTCCCAAAATACTAGCATTCCGATACTTCCGGAAGACGACGATAACATGTCTCTTTCAGCACGCCGGAACCTAATCCGCCAATCCTCTCTGCAACAGCTGTCTTCACCTGTGGCACCACTCCAACAGCCTTCGATGCCCTACGACTCTCATCAGCCTCGCCGACAATCATCAGTACCTTCACACATGGCACGAGAACAGCAACTCGCGTCATGGCGAGCTAGCGTTCAGCATGATCTACACAGCGCCGTGGTGCCCAAGATGTCGGTTGAGAGACAGCGGAGCGCGTTGTGGCAGGAACGGCAAGCCGAGGAGCAGAGGAAGGCGATGGATGCGAGGATGAAGGGCGAGAGGAATAACGCCTTCGATGAGCGGATGAGGAGGGGTGATATGCTTTCTGCGCATCGCGATGCGCTGCGCAAGATGCAAGCGGGTGCTAATAAGCATGCTTGAGAAAGAAGGAAGGAAGGGAGAAAAAAAACGCGTGCTCTTCGCATATTTACTTTATCGTCTAATAGTTAATTAACAGGATATGGGCGGCATAGATGGCAGGAAAAGGGAAAGGGAAAAGGGGAAAAGGAGGATCAGCTACACACGAGGTAAACTTGGGGCTATACACCGGTTGGGGAAGGTTCAAAGATGGTTTCAGCTGCGAGGCTCGAGAATTGGGTACGGTCCATGTATAAAACATGATGTACGTACGGCTTTATGAAGGCGAGAAGTAGCTGGATGGATATCTTGTCGGCGGTCTACATACAAACGTGGAGGGGCAGTCGTTATATAGGTAGTTAGCGCCTTTTGTGTATGTCATCCTTGCAACTTCCATTTCGAGGACAAGAACTCCTTTGATGCATAATACGGTAGCAGCGCAGTGGACATTGAAAGTATGTTGACAATTGGATATATTCAGCCCTCGAGATTCCGAGACTGTTGAAGCCTTTTAGTTGCCAAAGCATAGGTAGGTAAGGGAACCCTATTCTGATCACATGATCTTTAAATTCAGGGTTCAGGGGTGGGAGGTAGCTAGCGTACAAAAAGCCGGTTTCTTCTGCTGTGAACCTCAGCCCAGCCCAGCTTCGCATGCTTATGTGCGTGCATGCAAGCAGTCCACGAAGGCTTCATTTCTTCCCGAATGAGAAAGCCATCCATGATTGATTGCATTGTTACCAAGTACCCGACAATGTTTTGTACAAGTTAAGTTTCGCGGCTTTCGGGCCCGCTTCTAGCCCATGTCCGTCTGCTCAACGGAACGGCGTTAATAATCTACTTGCATGGGGTTACTGTAACCTTATACTGAGTGCTTACTACCTACCTACTGTACCTACCGGTACCGGTGGCACCGACCCTTCAATTGCGGTGATCTTGAAGTCTCCTCTCTCGTATTTTACATCCATCTCCACTCTTGATCAGCTTCTTGCGCAGAGTCAGTTACAACAGTCGATCAGACTTCGACCAGACTTCAGTCAGTCAGTCAATTAGCCAGTGCTTTGAATGTATTCCCCATTTTGCTGTCCTTGCCCGCCTTGTGCAAAGTGATCAATTAATTATGCCCAAACAAGCGACCATAACTGCACGCGAGCGGGAGCTTTACAGGTCAGTTCACCACCTCGAGCCGTTGCGTTGTGTTGTTCAGCGATCCGCCACCTTGCTAACAACTTCCACGCTACTCACAGGTATTTCCAGCCCGAAGAAACAAACAGCGCTTCAGATGAAAAGAAAGCCGCCACCGATCCATGCTTGACGGCCTTTGCTCAACTCGGAGCCCTGCGGTTGAACACAAAGAGAGGAATAATCTCTCTCACCACCGGTACCATCGAATTCATAATCGCAGAGTCGGGCCAGGCGCTTTCGCTGCAGCGGGAAGATGATGCGGATGATAGACTATGGCATGGAGTGGGAGCTTTCAAGTGCCCTAGCAATACGCACACAACAGTTGGATCCGAAAACGTAAATCATTTCTGCCGTACCGGGGATCAGTACCTGGTTGTCAACGACACCACGAAAGACGATCGATACAACAACAAATGCATTGTTACGCAGAAACCTTATATAAGGTTCATGGCTGCTGTTCCTCTTATAACCCGGCCTGATTCGGACCATCCTTCGATGATAATAGGGAACTATATTGCTGTAGATGATAAACCGCGAGAGGCGGGGCTGACGGAGTCGGAAATTCAGTTCATGACCGACATGGCGGTGACCGTGATGGATTACCTTGAAGCCGGGCTTATTAAACGGAGGCAATTTCGTGCAGAGAGGATGATCAAGGCGATGAGCTTGTTTATTGAGGGCAAGTCCACTTTGAGGGACTGGTGGCTGGACTATGGCCATAGGTTTCAAGATTCCATTGTCCACCAAAAACGAGCCAAGACTGTTGTTGACCTCAAGCACCTGGCTGACGCCGAATTTGGAGTCCAGGAACCACCTGTGAATTTGTCCAAAGGTTTACATTACTGGCCAGGTCATGATGATATCCCGTCACAGACGCCCTCTTCCTCTGCTCCTTCTAGGGCCGACCATGATTTTGGAGATGGGAGGCCAATGCTACCAAGAGAAGAGAGCCATACGACTGCCTCTGATACTAATGGTCATACAACCTTGGTTTCTAAATCCTGGAAGGATCGGGATAGCTCGGTGACCACTTTTGATACCTTGACAGGACCGGCTACGGAGCACACCGAAAACCGACATTCAGTTTCTTTTGATCTGCCACCTCACCAGGTGTCGAATGATGTTTCTAAGGAGCTACAAGACGCTTTACTATCAACTGATTTAAAGCGGGTCTTCTCTCGAGCGAGTAATTTAATACGGGAAGCCATTGGAGTCGAAGGAGTCGTCTTTTTTGATGCTAGCGTGGGATCTTTCGGGGGAAGTGCCGATAAGAATGTGATGGAAGAGAAGGCACCAGGCGCCTTCCAAACCGACAAATTGCATACAAGTAGCGAAGATGAGTCTGGGCGCAAACAATCTGTCGATCTTGACATAAGTGCAGCATCAGCATCCGATTCTGCCCAGCACACTGAAGCGACCGAAAAGTACTGCAGTGTTTTGGGCTTTAGCAGTCGATACCGCTCGAGCCTTCTCGGACACCAAATTCCTGAGGGAAAGGTGCAGCTCCCTGAAAGCATGCTAAGGAGACTACTGAAGAGATATCCACACGGCAAGAGTAAGTCCAACCTGATTCTCATTCCAGCAGAGTCGGGGCAAATCAAAGCCTCTAGAAGCTACCTGCTAGGAACTCTTCTGCATTTGGAATATATATTAATTGGTTGACACTATTCTAGTCTTTAATTTCGATGGAGACGGCGTATATTCCTCTGGTGACTCGGATCAACAATCCGGTAGGGACTCTGAGCCAAATTCTACTCTGCATCCTTCATCCCAAGACACCAAAGCCCGTCGAAACCGACTATCCAAAGAGGCTGAAGCAAAGGCCATATTGAAAGTTCTCCCCAACGCACGCAGTGTCTTTTGGTTCCCGCTTTGGGACAATAGTAGAGAGCGTTGGTTTGCTGGAACTTTGGTATCTTCAACCTCTCCCACCAGATCCTTATGCCCCTATGAAGACTTGACCTACCTCGCTGCGTTTGGCAATAGCGCAATGGCAGAGGTAGCTCGCCTGTCAGCACAAGTCCTAGACAAGATGAAGTCCGATTTTATATCAAGCATTTCTCACGAACTGCGGTCCCCGCTTCATGGTGTTTTGGCCAGTGTGGAATTTCTACAGGAGACTTCCATGACTGAAGATCAAGAGGATATGGTCAACAACATTCATGCTTCTGGGAAGGTGCTTTTAGATACAATCAACCACGTTCTTGACTTCTCCAAGGTCAATAGGAAAGCGAAGAACAAAAGCAGAATAACCAAATTCGCTGGCAAGCGGAGAAAGAAGCAATTCAAGGAGCATGCAATTGATGATGATGCTGAGGATACCGCAGATATGTGTGTGTTATCTGAAGAAGTTATTGAAAGCATCCATGCCGGCCACAGCATCAGCAGGTCTGTGCTTGCCCCGTCATCAAAACATAAGCGTAATTTCTCAATCAATTCGAACAACTTGCCTCTCACAATCATTACGGACATCGCATGGCATCCAAATTGGACATTTGAAATGGATCCTGGTGCCTGGAGCAGGATATTGATGAATCTTTTCAGCAATGCCATGAAATATACCAAATCTGGATTCATAAAAGTCTCACTGGAAGTAGAAAAGGAACCGCTTTCTCGGGGTAAGAGAGCACGACCTATATTAACATTGAAAGTCAAGGATTCTGGGAAGGGGATCAGCAAAGAGTTCCTCAAGCACAGACTTTACAAGCCATTTACGCAAGAGGATTCTCTTGCTACTGGAGCAGGCCTTGGTCTCAGTATTGTACGCCATATCATCCAGGATTTAGGTGGTTCCATAGACTTTGTGAGTGAGCAAGGCTCGGGGACTGAGGCTACAGTTCGAATACCCCTGACGGAAATGAGCACGCCTACCAAGTCTGACGGTCCGAATTATGTTGCGGAAGCGAGAGTGGCAACAAAAGGACTTAGGTATTCCTTGGAAAGTTTCGACAAGTATCCTGATATCGCGGAGGAGCCAACCGGGATACTGTCTGCTGAAGTTGAGGGTGCCATGCTCCTCAAATCATCTGTCCAAACCTTGATGAGTGAATGGTTTGATATGGAACTCAGCACCACTGCCGCAGCGGAAACCAGTCCTGATGTGGTCGTGATCATGGAATCTGGAATGGGAGAAAGATCCGTGAAAGATATCTTGCAATCTTACACCTGCGATAGACCAACGAAGTCCGGCAAATCAGTTGCAATCGTCCTTTGTAGTACTTACCACCCAGGTCCAAAGATGCATTCGTGTGGGGCTTTCCAAATATTCTATCATCAGCAACCGTGAGTTCTTTCCCTCCCCTGATAAGCTTGCACAATGCTGATGATCCCAGATATGGTCCACATAAAGTTGCAAAGTCTCTACACAGTGCATTTGTTCAGCATACTGGCCCCATCCCAGAATCGGAGCTTGATGGTCACAAAGTCAGCCCACCTACAGCCGGGACATCATATTTCCCTCCAACTCATACTGCGATTTTAACGCCTCACCCTACCGAAACCCCCATTAACGGCTCAGCACCCGCGAAAGAACTCGAATCTCAATCAATCCCCGATGCCTCCACAAAACCCCTTGATTCGGGAAAAGAGAACATCCCGCCCACAACCGCCGTCCCCGTCGTCATCCAGCCCAAAGACCTCCGCGTCCTCCTGGTGGAAGACAACGAGATAAACCTTAAGCTCCTCATAGCAACGATGCGCAAACTGGGCATAACGCACAGCACAGCGACCAACGGCCTCGAAGCACTCAACACGTACAAAAACAGTCGTGGCGCGTTCGACGTCATCTTTATGGACATCTCCATGCCCATCATGTCGGGCATCGACTCTACCAGACACATCCGACGCTTTGAACGCGATGAGGGGCTGGAGCCAACGCGGTTAATCGCGTTGACGGGCGCGGCGAATCCGAATACGAGGCAGGAAGCGTTTAGTAGTGGGGTGGATCTGTTTTTGACGAAACCGGTGCCGATGAGGGAGTTGAGGGGTATGTTGGAGGATCTTAGGAGGGAGGCTACGAGGATTTTGGAGGAGACGGATGTTTTGAATGGGGAAGTGGAGGGGGTGAAATGAGTTTGGTAGAGCTGGCTGGCTTGCAATATCTAGCTCGTAAGAAAGAAAGAGGGGGCTGGAGAAAACGAAATCGGATTTGGAAAGACTTTCTTTGGTCTGGTCGGGTCAGGGGAGTTCACAGAAGTATACTATACATACGGCAGGTTTCACGACACGATGGGTAGGACGGATAGGCGCAGTGTCGGGAAAAGAAAGGGATGGATGGAGATGGATAGGTGTGAATGAATGCATGATTGAATGAATGGAAGAATTAATAATGCTAAGTTGAGGTAGGGGGGGAAATAGGGAGAGTGCTTTAATATTAGTTACCTACATACTATATATATATGACTTTTATGTAGTACAGTAGTATATGGAGTTGTATGAAGATGATGAAGGGATCCGGTAGGTATTAAGAAATGGGGAAAAGAGGGGAGGGACAATTCATGATTTCATTAAGGAGAGGTAAAGTAGGTACTTTTAGGAAGAAATGCGCTGCATGTTTAAAATGAGACGGTGCAGTAAGTACATGGCGCTAAAGCGGCCGTTGAAAAAGTGGCTGGCTGGGCTGGGCTAGTTGACTGCACTGCCATTAAGCTCTTTTTCCCCCTCTTTCTTATCAAAAAAAAAGGGGGAAATTGAATGAATGAAGGAGGGAAAGAAGGTTGGAGGTAGGGAAGGAATTGAGTAAAACTGGGTATATTTTCAAGGACTGGGTTTAAGTAAAGAAAGAAATACTATAGATATCTTGCTTCTACTGTACTGCATTTCTGTTCTGGGTTGGAGTTGAAGCTCTGGATGAAACAGGGGTGCAGATACTCGGTACGATATAGAAGTAAAAATAAATTAAAACCCAAATTACGCCGTACATATATAGTACTGTAGCTCATCACACACACGGCCAACGTCAAATAAGGATGACAAGGCTGACTGACTGATACTGGATCAATATAATTAATATAATACGGTACTTGCAAGTTGCAACTGGGATCAGGGCAAGTGGAATCCCGGTAGAACGGAACGGATACGCATTCGCATGGTCGTGTTTAGTTCTGGAACTATTGAACTCTGATGGGGATTCGAAATGGGGATTCATGCTCCTATAGTAGACATTTCAGCCGCATGAAGTTACGAGGATCATGTCATGAGAATAATCACCGTATGCTATACAGTAAATGCTTCAACGAATAATCACCGTATGCTACACCGTACACGCTTCCACAACAAGAAAGGCCAAGGCGACACGGGGTAATAATGTGATACTGTAGGATGTAGGAGACACGACACGGCAAGTTTGAAGTAGCGATGTATGGTTTGAGTCTGGCTTGGAAGCTTGAGCGGTCGTCCCTGTTGTGCCTGTGTCCGCGTGTTCAAAGCAGTAGAAGGCGGGGGAAAAAGACAAATAACACGCGAAGATGCTTTAATTGACGCGACGAACGGGGATGAGTGAGGGGCACAGGACAGGTTAAGGTACGGGATAGGATACGGTAGAGTAAAGTAGCCATGGCAGGGGCAAAAAAGAAAAGACGGGATGGGATCTTCGGATTATTGATGAGTGTGCGTGCTGGTCCGGCTTGATTTAAACAGACTGGTCTCCCTCCCTCGCAGGCTTGTGAGAGAAAGTGATGCACACATGGAAGCAAGAAAAGAGACCTACGAGCACGAGATATGAATATGGTATGGGATATGGTTATGGAATCATGAGTAACTCCAAGAAATCACAGTCTCAGTCACAGTCACAGTCACAATCACTCTCACTCTTACTCTCGACCAATCCCTATCCCTATCCCTATTCAGCAGATTCTTCCGTCGCTAAACTGTCCTCGCCGTTGTTCCTGCAGCAGCCCTTTCCCTTTCCCTTTCCCTTTCATCTGGCTCTTTCCTCTTCCAGCGCTTGCCCCTATCTTAACCGCTTTGGTCCCGAACCGCTGCACTCACAACCGAACCCGAACGACTCGAAGATTCGCAACATCATAAAGCTTCAACACCACTCCCATCTGCTGCCACCAGTACGACGGCGACACCCACGACGACGAGACCCGAAGTCGTACCAGTGGCGTCGCAAGCTGATGCATCTGAGAAAATCCGGGAAACCTCCATAACGCATCCGCCGTATCCTCAGTCCGAGTCCCGTCCTTCCAATATCGATGCCGCCGGCTCATCGACAGCAAACCCCAGAATTCCGTCGCCGACCTTTCAACCCCCTTATCCATCCGCAACATCACCAATACCCGTCACAGAAGGAAAACCACACCTTACAGTGACGAGCCCTAGTCGCTGGAGTTTGCGCAACGCTTTTATCGGTGGCGGGAACCCCGAATTCAATTCTCCCTTCCGAAGTCGTTCTGGCACCGGCGGTAGTAGCCTTGGATCGAGACCACGGCACCCAAATACGACACGGGGATTGTGGAACCCAACAAACTCGACTCCAAGAGTGCCGACGAGGAAGAGGAATCGTTCGCAGGTCGAAGACGTTCATGTTATTGCTATACCATTATCGCATCCCGACATCAGTTCTCCGCGTCAAGGATCTACTGCCGGAGGATCATATCCTCTCTTGACACTACCTGAGAAGCGGCAGAGTCTACATTTAGGGTCGGCGAGGGCAAGTCTACAGGTTGAGAGAAGTGGAAGCTCACACGATTCGAATAGAATCTCGTTACCGAGAAGCGTCAGCATCGATATACAGCGAAGAAAAAGTGGTGAATCTACGCTTCCGACTAAACTCGACAAAGGCAAGGGACGAGCAATTGAGCACGAGGAGGAAGTTGAGCAAAGACCGCTCACAGGATTTAAGAAAAGAGGCCAAAGCATTTCTCATCCACAAGCACAAACATCCGGCCTTACATTCGATCAAGGGAATTCAGTCATGTCTACCGATCTCGAACGCGGGCTCCACAGTCCCTATAATGCCCAAGGCACTTCACGTCTACCACACAATGCCTCGAATCCTTCTTTTGATGCTGGCATAGGGCCTGCATTGTCAGACAGCACATCCATAATCGGCTCTGACGGTCCTGGGGTTGGCATAGATGAATGGGGTCCTCAACATCCGTGTTTCCCACACATGAATTCTCACGTCCCACTTTCGTCACCTCTCTACCAAAGTACGCGGATACTACGCATACGACGAAATTGGATGTTAGCAGGCGATTTAGCACCTACATTCTCGAATTTGTACCCCGAGGTATTAGACCCGGCTGGGGTATCGGAGCAAGAATTCCGAACAATCATAGAAAAAGTCAACAACGAACTAATACGAGCCTTCAATCCCTGGGGAGTACGAAACATGTTCGATAACGTAATGGGGGTATTGACTGGATGGATATGGGATGACCTTGGATTCTCAGCCGTGAAATCAAGGTTACAGAATGTGGAGAAGTATCTGGAGGAATGGAACAAACAGATGCAAGGGAAGAACAAAGAGGGACCGGATAGTGCGCCGAGAATTGTGCCGTTGAGGAGGACTGGGTACATGAATGTGAGTTATATATGCCCTTTGAAACTTGAGACGAGAATAGCTGCTAATGGAAATTTGCAGCTCGATTTTCAAATTCCTGACCCCGACTTCCAAGACGCGTCGGTGATGGCGGCAAGTGACAGAATGGGGACAGGGCACTCTGGAGCCACGCAATAACTTAATTTCCAACAGCATCTATTTGTATATTTTGTAATAAATGATGGGAAGGGAGGAGATTTTTGGACGTTATACCCCACACCTCGACGGAGGAGGTTTCTTTGTTCAGGCGTTTTTTGGGGGTGAGAGAAAACGTCTCTTGCAGCATAGCATAGCGTAGCATAGCGAGTCTCTTCTTATGAGCAGGTACTACATGCCTACTGTACAAAACATATAATACTTGTTAGACTGGTTATCTTAGCATTCAGCTGATGTCGCATAAATTCGGAAGTCTTCTTTCTGTGTTTCACATTCCATTGTACAAGATCTGCCAAGATGTAATAGATCACGATCATTTCTTGGTATTCCAATTAAAAGAGAGTACTACAAAGATCCATGTGAATCCTTCTCCTGAGATTGGTGAGTCGAAATACCAAGGTAATCGGGATCCTGTGAAGTGTGTCGGGAGGATCCGGGAGGCGCCGTACCTTGTTGCCTTTCCACTCCCATACAGTACCAAGGGTTTCAATAATGATACATGACGCTTCTAATTTTTTGTACAACTTCATCTCACATCTCCATCACTCACATGTTTTGTCCTGAAAAGTCACGATGGAGCCCATAAAAAAAGGGTATGGTTTCGACGGCCGTCGTTATTCAGGGCTATGGGCAATGCCAAGGATTTGCCACCGCTGAGCTGAGCCTCATGCCAATCAAGTTCACCGATATTCAGCAGCTCATAAGGCAGGTTTGACTGACTATTTTTTGGGCGATTGTCAACAATCGGTGCTTCTTCCCTTCCTCTTGTATTTCAGTCTTCTTTCTACAGTATCTGCGCAAGTAACCGCAGGACCATCTTCTCTCTGTTCTACGCACGAAATCCCTTTGTCTCCGACTGTTATCTATTCAATACGCTCGACACCATGGCTTTCAACCCGGAACTTTCGAATACCATCACAATGCATCCTCATCCTTTCCACCCAAATCCCATTCGCTCCGAGCATTCACAGTCACGGTCGGAGAATCACACGCCACTTCAAGCAAACACCTCGACAAAGCCTGGCGCCACGACAGCCTTCGAGCCCGTGGCCCCGCAAGATGAAGCCCACGACCCAGTATCCAGACATACATCTCACGGAATGCAAGATCTCGAAGACCAGCGCCCTCCCCAATACACCCGTGAAAATGACCCCTACCAGCTGTCCTCGGCCTTGAAGAACGAGAATCAGCTCCGCGACATCGCAGCCAACTCGTCGCGCAAGAGAGATGGATGCGGCCCCATCAAATTCAACAAAGATGCCTACCAGGCACGCAAGGTCCAGAAGTTCTACGAGACGCAGAACGAGAACATACAACGTATGCTTAAGCCCGTCGAAGACCACCTTGCAGAAGCAAAGCAAGAAGCAGGCGACGACCATCTACAATTCCAAATCGCAGTCTACGCCTCATTCGCCGCGAACATTGCACTCGCAGGCCTGCAGCTATACGGTGCTATCTCCTCTGGCTCACTCTCCCTCTTCACGACCATGGCTGATGCTGTCTTTGACCCTTTGTCCAACGTTACCCTTATTGTCACAAACCGCGCTGTCAAAAGAGTAGATCCAAACCGTTTCCCGTCTGGAAAAGCACGGCTGGAGACGGTGGGCAATATCGCCTTCTGCTTTATCATGACAGCTGTATCCTTCATCCTCATAGCATTTTCGATCCGCGAGCTCGTTGAAGGAAATCAAGGCGTGCTCAAATTCCATCTCCCGTCCGTCATTGCCGTCGCTGTTGCGTTTGCCACTAAATTCGCGCTCTGGCTTTATTGCTGGGCGTTGAAAGACAAGTATTCGCAGATCAATATCTTGTGGCAGGATCACAGGAACGATTTGTTCATCAATGGGTTCGGTATATTGACGTCCGTGGGAGGTTCAAAATTGGCATGGTGGATTGATCCTATGGGAGCTATTATACTCTCATGCGTCATTTCTTGTATCTGGCTGCAAACCGCGTTCTCGGAGTTCTTGCTCCTCGTCGGTGTCACTGCATCTGTGGATACGCAACAACTCATCACATACGTCTGCCTCACCCATTCGCCCGACATCGAAGGTATCGATACCGTTCGAGTCTATCACAGTGGACCGAGACTCATTGCTGAAGTTGATGTGGTGATGAATGCCAACAGGAGTCTGAGAGAGACACATGATGTCGCTGAGGAGTTGCAGATTAAGCTGGAGAGTCTTCCGGATGTGGAGAGGGCGTATGTGCATGTCGATTACGAGACGACGCATAAGCCAGAGCATGCTTATAAGAAGGATCTCTGAGATCGTTCCGAGACACTTCCCACCAGTTCCTTAAATCCCGAAGGTTGGCTCCGGTAGCCGTGGATCGGACGTGGCGTGTGAAGGCTCGATTAGATGAATAGATCTCTACTTTGGATGATATCGGCGTTTAGGCACACACAGGCTCTTTCCACCGTGAACTTGTCTGATTTGATATAATTTGTACATAGCTATTGCTCTACGAAAATATACGACATACATAGCCAGGCTAGAGATGGACCCAGTTCGATTATCTGCATCTAGACCTTTGGGTCTTTGACAGCCATGCTGGATTGTGGTTGTGGTTGTGGCTGTGGTTATACTGTTGCGCCGCTAGCAGGTGGTAACGGCGCTTCATACCATGTTCATGCTCCTTAAGATGTCAAGGACAATATTCTTATAGTAGCAATAAATTAGTCACTCCTCTCCTTCCATAAAGGTATAGAGCTGAGATTATATCAACCTTCCAAAGACGACAGAGGATGGTTCTTAAGGAACTCCTCGAAGCTGGTAAGCTTACCCCTCGCATACTGTCTCGCCCACGCGCTCAACTCCTTCGACTCCGGCCCGAAGTAGCCAAAGTCTTGATAATAAAGCATCAATTCCGAATAAATGTCCTTCCCATTGGGAGGGAGAAAGTCTCGAAACACACTCTCCTCCACCTGCACATACCTCACAGTCTTCCCACTAACCCTACTCATCAACGCTACGATTTCTTCCAGCGAATACTGATTCTCAGCAGCACACAACTGTTTCCCCTCGAACATCCCCGGGCTCGCCAGAATCGCCCCAACATATTTCCCCGAATCAGCCACCGGATCCAAGAGCGAGAACTGTGTCTCTTTGCTCGCAGACGACGCGATAACAAACGTCCCATCCCCCACTGGCCGCGGCGCCAGAGCACCATGGAAGCTCTGCATGAAGGCCCCGGGGTTGAAAAACGCAGCTTTGATGGGCAGAGAGCGCATGTATAGTTCCACTTCCGCTTTGTTATCAAACGGCGCCACGTGTGTATATCTCCCCCCTGAGATTCTTGTCACATGGGGCAGGGTGCTGAAAATCAGGTACTGCGCGCCGGCGGAGACGGCGGCGTCGGCCATGTTCCTTCCCTGCGCCACCTCTCGTGCCTTGAGTTGGGAGTCGTAGATGGAAAGCGTCATGGCGAATACGGTGTATGCACCGGCTAAAGCGGTCTTCAGGCTATCTATGTCCGAGGCATCGGCTTGGACGGTTTCTACGCCTTGCGTTTTGAGCTTCTGGGCAGCGGGAGAAGAGGCATCGCGGGTTATGGCGCGGAGGGTATATCTAGAACACCATTAGCAGTGGTTTGAAGTGTAGGTGAGGAATGATAGATATACTGCTTGGAGAGTTCGGGGTCTCCGGGTCTTCGTAGGATCAATATCTACCTATCTTTTCTGCTCTGGAATAGCTTCTTAACCCCGCACTTTTTAGAACTCTCGTGCCATTCATTTATCTAGCTCGCATATATAAAGCAATATTATAAAGCCTGGCTTATGAAATCAACTCCCTTACAAAGCTTCTACACAGAATGAAATTATTTTTATATAAAAAGAACCCCGCCCCCGGGTTTCGGGACTAGAATTCACCCCGATCTTAGAATTCAAAAAGACTTACGAAAAGACATGAGAAGTTGCGGGGGGGGGTTGTTTTTTCTTTTCGGAGATTGAAGTTGACGTACAATACACACGAGTGGAGGTGGAATCAGAGGATGCGAGAAGATAGACAATATGCAGGCAGGTCAAGGAAATATAAGTTGCAGCTCTCAAACTTGACAAGAAAACAAATCATACTGTACGCCATAACGCGACTAGGAATGCTTCCCTTCCCTTCGACACCGCAGCGGAGAAAGGTGGGATACTGTATAATATATTCCGCGACATCCATTCCCATCAGAAGAGAAGGCCCGGACCCTCCCCTCCCTTCCTTGAAGCCAGAGTATGTAAGCGAAGCAAACCTAAGAGAGGCAGGCAGGGCAGGCACTCGTGAACGAACCTCAGGTACAGTAAATACAGTACGCACGTTCTCCTCCGGGCGTCGCGTTTGCTTCGTACGCACATACACAGCATCGATATCTCAATCGTGTATCATGACATGATATTCTCGTGGAGCTTCGTGGGACGCATATGGTTACCTACCAGTTGGTAGGTCACTCACGACAATACTGGATGGAGAATTCTGAAGATTCTCGGGGAAATGAATGAATGGAAAGCAACACGACTCGTCTCCATCCGTTTTCTTTCTATCGTTATTATCCTTGTACTTGATACCCTTCCTATACTCAAGATACAATTCTATTCATGGTCGAAGTTGGAGTTCGAGAGTATATAGATAGTGCTATATATAGTATACTTGCCCTCCGTTGTTTCACCATCGATATTCCTTTGCCAAGTTTCCTTGAACTTCGGCGAGAACCCCGACATATGAAATTAAGCACTCCTTTAAGTTAGATCTATAAATCCCGACTTGTGATATTAAGCACTTTTCAAGTTAGGTCTATGAAAATAGCAAAGAGGAGCAGCATCTACATAATAATAACCTCATTTTAATCTCCTTTTCTCGTGACCTATACATGCCCACCCGATCCTTTCTTCCTACAATTCTAACCATTATATTGTCTCCCTCTCTCTCATTCCCCCCAAAAATCCAGTCCAAGAAGTCATTACTTCGTCCATTCTTTACTCTACTTTACTTCATTTGTTTGCCATCCGTCACGATGCATTATTATACCTCATTGTTCGCCTTTGTCGGCGCGCTAGTGCTTCCAACTACCAGCATCCCAGTATCACCACGGGATAACATCACTGGGGACACTGCCTCCTACTCTGCTGTCTCTATCAGCGGCCATAACACCCATCGACAGATTCACAGTGCAGCCAACCTCACCTGGGATCCCACACTTGCCGGCTACGCCGCGACCACAGCAAGCAGATGCGTCTTGGGAATTGACGAGTAAGAAATACCATACCCCCTTCCTCCGTCCCTTTGGACTACCCACTCAATCTAGCAACAATATAATACATATATACTGATAGCAGAACGCACAGGAGTCCAGGAAATGGCGGCTACAACCAAAACTTCGACATCCAAGGCGCGACAAACTTCGAATCAACAAATAGTTCAGCCACCTTCGCCAGCAAGGCCGTCACGGACTGGTATAGCCAGGAAAAGAACTTCGCGGCCTACTATGGTGAAGCGTCGCCGCCCTATCAAACGTCATCCGATAAGCAGTATTCGGGGTTCACGCAGGTGGTGTGGAAGGGTAGTCAGAAGCTGGGCTGTGCTTCTCATTTCTGTGCCCAGGGAACGATCCCTAGCTTTATGGTGAATGCTTGGATTACGGTTTGCAACTACTCCCCTGCTGGTAAGCAAGCCTCTTCCCTCTTGAAGGTGGCTTGGATCTAACAGGCCGTGCAGGAAATTTGGGAGGCGAGTATGCAGATAATGTTTCTCAATTTTGAAGAAGTGCTGGGTTATGAAGTGACAGCTGTGGAGGCTCGCTACTTGAGTATCTCACTTGAGGTCTCTTTGCAAGTTGCCTTGCCTTCTTCGCTTCACCCCTTCGAACTTGGCGCATAGTGAGCGGCTAGGGAAAACACTCCAATAGCGACGCGGAAATGCAATATGAAATATCATTCCCACAAATGCGTCACGCCTCATCTCTGATACTATATTGTGACTTGGTAGAATACGAGAAAAGACGATTCCTGTGTACGCCGTTCTATGTTTTGAACAAGTGGCTTGAATTGAGTCCTAGATCGTGATGCCTTTCTTCAAGAAGTAGCCTTGACTTCATATTTTATCCGAGAAAGATTAAAGCCGAATCTAGTGAACATATGTACTCTTTCTTGAGTTTGTCCCAATGTGCGACTCATAATATTCAATTTATTTCAAATTGCTGGTCATGATAGGAGCCTGACATCCGACTCTGAGACGGGTTGCTAACATCTGGCTGCCTTGTACCCAAAGTATTGGGAGGATGGTTTCTTTGCCGTCATAAACGATTTGACAAATAATCGCCAGTTCATGTTCTTCTCTCATCAGGCGATTGAGAGGATTCAATGTAGCGAATGCTCGCTGTACTCGACGACGTTCCTGTGGTCGAGGGACTCATCCGACTCAGTAAACTACCCCCTGAACTCGACGCAGTGGATCTAGTTTGTTACTTCTTCAGTTGCGGCGCCAATTCCTGCCATCGTCTCAGCACGTCAAAGCGCTCCTCTTCCGTAGACGAGCTAACCTCCTCGAAACCCTGCGCAAAGTTGGCCGCAAGTATAAAGCTGAGGGTACCAGTGCCAAAGCGCTTCTTAAGAGCGTTGTATATAGCCCGAACGCCAAACTGTGTGCCTCGTATAACGAGGCCTCTGTGGCGAAGGAGGACACCCGCAAGACCTTTACCTAGGCCTTTACCGAAGCCACGCCAGCCGTTCTCCTTGGCGCCTTTGTAAGGCTCTCTTACGACACCTACATAGGCTTTGCCGAGTTGGACGGGAAAGTTGATGACATAAGAGCTGACGCTGCCGACAGTGCTCATAAAGGGTGTTGGTCCGCTCAGATTTGATACGACGAAATGCTCTTCGACGGGGTACTCGTATGGTCGATACAATTCCAGCTGATTGACGTCTAGGATGCCTTCATCGCCCAGTACAGTCGCCGCGAAGGCACTTAGTCTGACATTTTCTTTTGAGCCCTTTGTTTTGACCCGCCAGACAGCGACTTTGTCCAGACACATTGAACAGCGCAATCGATCCACGTCCAACTGCTTATGAAAGCTAGCAGCGCCAGCCTCGCATCCTTTCTCTTCACGAATGCGCTCTCCAAGCTCTTTTGCCCGCTCTAGCGTTTCGGGCTCGAGTGCCTTCAGAATCGCTTTCGAAAGTCCCTCGGCGTCGAGCTCTTTGAACGTGATCGGGGACGGCCCTGCCCCAGCACGAGCTACCATTGCCCCCCAGAATGGCTGGTCGCCAAAGAACGGAACAATGACGGTAGGCCTTCCGAGCGCGATGCCCGCTGCTGTGGTTCCTGCTCCACCATCTATGTTGAGATGTCAGTACTATGTCTTTCAAGACGTTAATTGGAACGAAGGAGAAAGGTATGAAACATTGGATATAGCTATTCTGGGATCATTAACGTGGGGTAGAATATTCCCAAAGCACTAAAACCAAAACAAGGAACAATTCTCTTACGATGAACCACACACGAAACGTGCTTGAAAAGCCAATCATGAGGACAATTTCCCAGCATAAAAACGCCATCAGGTCTACTCAACTCGTTGCCACCAAACCCGCCCCAACCTTTAGAAACCAAAGCTCGCTGACCCGTCTTCTCGACGGCTTCAAAGATCAACTTGGTCATAGCATTCGGGTCTTCGACCACAATAGACCCGAAGCCAATATATACAGGAGGTGGGCCAGCTGCTAGGAAGTCGGCGAGGTCGGCGTCAGGTTGGTAATTGGACGCAAGGGAGAGGAAATAGAAACCAGAAATGGAGATGTGAGGACCCCAATCTTTGGGTTTGGGAATCAGGGCAGGACTCCTGTTGGCCATATTAGCTCAGTGCCTTAGGTCCTAGGGATGGATTCCTACCAACAATACGTATACGGTATTCGTAGTCGGTGCAGCACAGTAGTTCCTGCCGCCTGCGAGAGCGATCCAAGATCTAGCGTATCTGTTCTGAATTTGTTGATAATGCCACCTAGTCCCTGCCAGGTCATCATCTCAACTAATGTGTAGCTCAGCTCATTTGTCACACTTCCGCTAGCATTGGACGACTTGATGTTGGCTATGGGCTGAGGGAAGTCATGGGTGGGAGACCACGGCATGCTAGAAGCATTGGGTTAATGCTACCATCATCTCAATCAGGGCCGAGACTTAGACCTACGTGAACATCAAATGTAAAGGAACACCCAGCTTCTCTGCACAGTGAATATGCGCAAAGCTGGGCGGGTTCGCAATGATAGCATTTGCAATGAACGGTCTTGTCTTCGGACCATCTCCATCCTCCTTTGCCTCATCAACATCAGCACACGATCTCCAACACCCCTCGAGAATCTCGGCAATACCCTTCCGTCTCTTGCCAACATCCCCTTCCTTCAATGACTTCATTCCGGGAATCAATCCCGGATTCTTGACCATAAACGCCATGAGTTCCGCCGGATCACCTCCAATCTCAAAAAACTCCAACCCATTTTCCTCAACGAACATCTTGAATGTCCCATGTGTAGCTAGGCGTACGCGATGCCCGTAGTTATTCTTGAGCACCTGTCCCAACGCAACGAATGGCTGGACGTCTCCCCGTGAACCAACTACATGGATCACGATGTTCAGAGGGGGTGGAGGTTGGGAGGGCTTGCCAAAGTATGAAGGTGTATGTGCAGAGGCTGGGCGGTAGTCAGGGGCTTGTTGCTGAGCCGCAAGCTGAATCTGCTCGATTTCTTGGGCCAGCCGTGTATCGGACTCATTTATGCGTATATCAACTCGCCCATCGTCTAGGCGTTTTATAAGTGTTAGTTAGACAAGGAGGATATTGGAGAACTGACTTGTAACTTGGGTTTGAGCGCTGAGCCCATTCTGGTTCACGTCAAGCGTGCCGGTTGATTCATCGTAGATTGGCGGAGCGTCGTCGGTCAGCGGCTGGCCATTTGATTCTGCGTACGCAGGAGGGGCATTTGAAGCCATAGAATGAATAGATTTGAGGAAATCCTCCATCGAAGGGCGGGGCTGCCATGGCTTAAAATACTTTGTGGTTATCAAGAATGCGGCGTAGTAAAACGCCCTGCTCTACTAAACAGGGCACCCCCAGCAGCCCTACCCTACCCCGCCATCTCCCCTGTCAGAGTGGAAGCGAGTACCACCACCAGTACTGTACTGTAAAATGAGATACGGAGATATACTTAGAGCTTACCGGAAGAGGAAACCTGGAAGTTAAGTATAGTAAGTATAAGTATCAAACTTCTTATGGCAAACATTCATTCATTGATCTTGGAGGATGCGAAACGAACATCCTTCCTCACGCTTGAAGATGAACTGTTAGACAATCGCAGATACATTAATCACCACAGGCACTAGTTTTGCAAACGCCATGTCAAAAATGTTCTTGTACTCCTAAACCTGTTGCCTGACTAACGAATGCCACCCAGTTTCAACGTCCCATCCATAACAATAGCTCCATCAAGAAGGGCCCCCACTTTCTGCGCTCAAAATAGAAGGACTGATCTCCTTCTCCTTGCTTGAGGAGCCCGCTTTAATGCTCTTAGCACTAGAACTGCCCGCCCTACTCGACCTCAAACTACTCGCTCTCAGCCGGCCCCCTTTGTCAACACCCTCCCTCACAAACTTCAAGATCTCATCACCACCTCCAAGTTTGCCCATTGTAGCCGCAAGAGCCGTGTTCTCAGCTTGCAAGTCCCCCACCTGATTCCTGAGTATCTCTTTCTCTTTCCTCAACAACTCAACCTCAGCTTTAGCCTCCTCCAACTCACGTGCCATTCGTATTTTATCATCTTTCTCCGCCGCCTTGCGCTTTTTCTCTTCTGCTTTCTGAGCTTCTTTCTCCTTCTTCCGCTCCAATTTCTCAACTTCTCTCTTGTACTTCTCCTCCTGCTTCTTCACTTCACGCTCATGCTTTTCCTGTGCCTTTCTGATAGCCTCTTCCTCTTTAGCCGTGTCTTCGCTCTTTTTACTCTTCTCTTTCTCACGCGCTAGACTTAGCTTCTCGTCGAGTTTCCGCTTCTTTTCTTCGAGTTTCTGTAGCTCTTTGTCGTGCGCAGTGAGGCCAGTTGAGACGCTCATGCGCGGGGAAGCGCCGTCGGCTGTTTCGTTTGTAGCCCGTCTATCGAGAGCCGAGGCGAATGAGCCTTCTGAAGAGACGCTGCTTACTGACGAGACGGAGTCATGGCGAGGTGGGCTGGATTTGATACCATGTGGTTCTTCGGGTACGTGAGTAAGGTGGTCGGAGATGATGGCTGGAGTGTGAGATGCGATATAGCCGCCTGCTAAACCAGCTGCTCCAGCTACCGTGGTGTATATCCCGTTGCCATCTGTGGAGATTTGTTCTGGTGCTAGACTCTTCTCTTCTGCCGGTGTAGCAACCTCGTCTATACCAGCCAAATGACCATTCGTTTGCCAATTGTATAGATCCTTTTCATGATTATGGTGATGTTCGTGTTTGTAAGCTTTCTGCTCGGGCTCTTCATTATCGCCTTTGCCCTTCTCAATTTCTTCGTCCTCGTCGCTCTCGAGGTCTTGTATGCCCTTAGCACACGCCCAATCTAAGAATTTGGATGCATCTGCTACAATTCCACCAGGAGTACCTCGGTCAATCAGGAATCTTGGAACGCTCCCGCCAGGGTCGCTCCTCGTGATCATAATCCACTCTATTGGATTACACTCGTCCTCGTCGTCATCTCGTGGAATGTCCATAACCTCTCCCTTCGCACCCGGACCTCTTGACCTATCAAACGATATTGTCTTGCCTCGCGCTCGTCCAGAACTGTCGCTACTTGTGGGACGAAGATCTGTATCTGATTGTGAACCATTGAGCGGATTCTCACCATGCTCACTGGTAGGGGCCGGGTGTTGGCTATTCGAATTTCTCAGCACGACCTCTCTCTCTAATGTTGAGACAGATCTATTCCGCCTCCTGTCGTGAGTTTCAAGATTTGTAGTAGACGCCGCCTTTTGGGGGCCCTTGTTTAACGGTATTTCCCTAATGAACTCCACAGACTCGTATTGACCTCTAATATATCCATCCCGTGGTGGTGTTTCCGGGTGTATACACGGCCTCGAAATAACCATAAAGTGCCGCGGGACTTCTTCTCCAGATTTATCTTGCAATGCCTGATCAGACGTAATAAACATCGTTACGAAATCCCTAGGTGTCGTCGGCCCAGGAAACTGCGCAGAAAGTAGATAAACTATCCAATATCAAAGTCAGCGTCTCACATGCCATATTCCACAAAAACTTAGCACATACCTTCCACCTTTCCCACACCCTCAACCTCCTTGAACGCAACCCTCTTCTCCCCTCCGATACCCCTGATGTTGCCCTCTCCGGGCCCACCCTGAACCTTCATCGTCTCCGGAAACTCCCTCTCAAGCCCCCTCTTCCACTTACTAAACCCCAACCCTTCATGCACACTCCTCCTCGCAAACCAGGACCCCTTCCCATCCTTGCCGCCGAGCTTATAAACACTCATGCCCAGCGGGTTGTCCTTCGCGTTCATCTTGACGCTCTTCCACTCCTTCTGCAGCGCCTCCACCTCTTTCTCTGGCGGTGGAGCCCGCGCATTGCTCACGCTTATGTCGGAAGCTGAGGATGCGGAGCGAGAGCGGCTCTGGGGAGAACTCGGAGGGGATGAAGCAGGGGCTATGGGAACGGAGTCGACGATTATCTGGGCGGCGCCGAAGGCGGAGGAGAGGAAGGGCGCGAGGTCGTCGAGGGGGGTTTCTTCGTAGTTGAGAGGGCCGAGGGTCTTGAGCGCGTCATGGAGAGCTGCCATTGTGTCTGTTTGTTCCTATTTACAACCCCAATCTCTCTCTGTATGTAGACTGCCCTGAAGTATAGCCTTGCACTTGAGTTTGTGTGTAGCCCACGGATATCAAACAGTTTGCTGTTCAATTTGTCAACATGGAAGCGCTGGGTGTTCGTGAATCATGCTCTAAAGGCTAACAAGTTGGATAAGACGTGAATTGATTCATCACCGGCAAAAGAGGTGGTTATTGTGGTCATGAGTGAAATCAGTATCTACTATCATCGTCATGGCCCTTTCGGGCTGGTGTTACCCTTACTGTGGTGTGATGTGGTGTGGTAATGCAGTGGCGCCCAAACGACAGGATGACAATGACGTTGCTCGGAATGGGCGGATGAGAATTGTATTGTACTTTACCCCGCTTAGAGTTGCAGGTTCAATGGAGAATAGCTACCAAGTAAGTATATACAAATCTAAGATTTTCATTATAAGCTTCTTTTGGAAATATGGCAACAATGTTTGTATTCTTACATTTCGAGGGACAGCCCTGTGTGTAGTTTTATCGTTCAAATAATTCATGCTTCACTGCAGCTATAGAACTTGTACCAAGCAAGCAAGCAAGATATAATAAATGTCCAACGCAGGGACGACTTTGTTATTATACTATACGATTATACACAAAGACAAATAATGAGCCTAAAGATACAAATACACAGTGGCCCTCAATCCCGGCTACTATCCCAAACGCCGCGCTCCCGTATGTTTGTCCGTATGAAGGTATATCCAAACAGCCCAGTCATCCAAATGACAAGTGCTTTCTCCCCTTCTCCAGCATGTCTTGTTCGAGCTTGCAGCTCGTGCAATATTCTTCATGCCACTTTCTCATTTCATCCATCTTGCCACTTCTCTCTCTTTCTTTCGCATCTAAAACTTGCTGGGATTCTGCCCCCTTAGGTTTTTTATTCGGTGTTGTCGGCGTACGATTTTCTCGTAACATTGTCTGAACTTGCTTGCACTTCATATTCTCGTCGAGAAGCCAATTCTCCCATTCGGCTTGCATCATCTCCCTCTCAATGTTATTTACAACGCGCATGGCAACTACTAAATCATGACGATAGGACCCTAGGTGTTGACGAGTTCTCCGTAGGCGTCGTGCTGTGGAACTAGTAACGGTCTCTGAATGCAATGTACCAGCCATTTGGTACGGAGAATCCAGATCAGTAATATTAGCGATTTCTCTAAATTGATCATGACTAGTGCTTGTTAGCAAATCTTTCACTCGATGGGGTGACCTAACTGACCATTTGCTCTCAGGTTGCTCCAATAAGTCGGTTGGCAACGAGGTTAGAGCATCGTCAAGATCCTTTAAATAGAGTGCCTTGCTCATCATCGGATTTGGCCCAACACCTATCCTGCTCATAAACTTTGCGGCATTCCGTTCTGACCACCATTCAGAAGTGTCTCTAGACGTGAAAAATGCATTTGTCATGACACTTAGTACAAGAACAATCAAGATAATGCTGTGAGCACTCCAGATCTTCCATATTTGGCGAAGCACTGCAAAGGTCCACATCATCAGTGAAGAGATCGCACTCTCACCAAATGAGCCCATTGTCTCAAACAGCATGTGTGTAAGAGTTCGCTGTTTAATTTGGGGCCGCTTGGAGTTCGCGGACTCGGTTGCAGAGAACATCGAGATAGATGTCTGTTGTCCAACATATCCAAATATATGAATGGCTTTTTTCGTCCTACTTTGTGGCCCAAGTTTGCGTACTTGATCGGTTATGACATCCGCCAAATCGAGAGCATCGAGAGACGAGTCGTCAAGAGCTTGTCTTTCAACCAGGCCTTTAGAAAATGTTGGGGCTTTTGACCAATCGACTTTGGTGTAGACTGCCAATTTACATTTTGACTTTGCGACATGTGTGATTACTATCTTCGAGACGAGCATGAAATCTTTATGATGAGGAAGATGCCACGGAGTCTTCATGTCCGTAACAACATAGCAGACATGATCGTTCATGATATCAATGACCTGATAGTCTACCACGTTGGCTTGGCGGGCTCGGTGAAAGACGTCAGAATAATCAATTTGAAATTCAAAGTCTCGACGCATGGAGATTCCCTCTTGAGGTACCCAAGGTCCTTGTGCGATACGTTGCGCTCGGCGCTCGTGGTATAACAATTGAAATACCGCGCTTTTGTCGCCAAACATGACATGGAAAAGAGCCTTTGGACTGATGTCAAATTGACGCTCGACCACCTTTCGTTGCATACCTGCTGGTTCGTACACAACAGGCTTAGAGGGCAACTGGAATTTCGTGACATCCTTGCTTGCCCGACCAAGACGGAGTCCTCGCTCGACATGAATTGCTGTCCTCAGATCTCTATCGTGGCGAGTTCGTCCTGATACAGTACCATTGTCAACGGGGGTGTTTACTGACACATCTTCCCAGCTCTCCATACTAGGGCTTCTCGTTGGATCGGCATTCTCCATCTTGATCAATACGGCCATTGTTTCCTCAAGATTTAGTGGCTCTTCTGATTGAGCTGTGTCGACCAGGTAGTTTAATCTTGATTGAAGGAGACGAAGAGGCTCCAAGAAGGTCTTGATTGTAACCCTTGTGAGGCCTGTCCGACCAGTTTCCTTCAGGTGGAGGAATATGAAATCGCAATCTTTACCTGGCGCTGCAGTAACCTCTAGTATGTTTGCCATGCTTGCACCTGTGATCAACACAAGACCAAGGTGATGACTATAGAAGTAGAAATCATGCTGAGTTACATAAACTCTCCCAGGAAACTCTTGTTGCTCGTTGGGATTCCATGTTGCGCGGAAGACAAGCAATAGTTTATCTTCACGGGGCACATTCGGAAAAAGGGTTCGGAACTGCGCCTCTTGAGTTTTAAGCTCTAAAGGATAGTTACCTGGGAAGATTTCAGGCTGGGGAGAGAAGGCATCAGATCGGATGGCGCTTGGAGCATCGACACTGACTGTCTTTCGATGTGCAAAAGATGTTGTAGCTGGAGTCGATGAAGGATCAGCTAACGTACTGTTAGAGCGTACAGCGCTCGAGGGGCCAGAGTCAGGCTTACCGATTGCATCGCCACCAGCTTTTGGCATTGGCTCCAAAGGCCTTATGTTTGGACTTGGTGGTATAGATTTGTTGGGGCTTGCAGATTTGATTTCTCCCAGTTCGAGTCGGTTGATATAGCCCCAGTTACTGCTCCCCCAAAGGTTGGCCATCATACCACTGGGCATACCACCTGTAGCATCACTTCCACCAATGCTTATGCCTCGTTCTCCACTAACAATAACAGCAGATTTGCTGAGATTTGTAGGCGCAGGAGGATTTGCCAGAGTGGTAGGAGCTAGAGTGCTTGTATGAGACTCCATAGGTTGCGGCAGTGCTAGCGTCGGAACTGTAGGAACTTGGGGAATGACTGGAGTATAGACAGGCAAAATGTTATGGCTTGCAGAAATCAAGCTAGCAATACCTCCAGCGGGCCCAGGAGATGGCGCCGAAGGACTATCGTTTGTAACAGGCGCTGGCTTTCGATGTAGATCGAGCTTTTGCATAATCCTTGCCGCATGATCCCGACTACTCTCGCCCTCTTCTCTGGTGGTAACAGAACGACGAGGGCCACTGATATCGAAGCTACTCCGTGAGGCCAGGTTGCCCATGTCTATGCCAGGAAGTGGGAGCGCCCCAATGCGCTCGAACCCAGAAGAAGGCATCTCCTCGCTCCCATGGGAAGCATGGCCATCGCTGGTTTTTGCAGCGAATTCTGGAATTGATGCAGGAGTTATGGCAAAGGCAGGATCAACTCCACCAGGAAAGTTGTCAGCGCTAGCTTGAAGAGCCTTGTTTTTAGCCACCTCAAACGCTTCTAGCCACTCCATGAGCTGACCCTGAGTTTCCGCTTGGAGGAGAATTGTCTGGTTCTTCGTCTTGACTTCGAAGCAGAACCGACGTTCTTCCTGCACAGCTGGCCTCACGTTGCACAGCAAGACGCCAATTTTCTCGCTTTCCTCAACTCCACCAGACTGAGAACCTTGGACAAGCCACCCAAAAATCCCATTTTTAACATAAAACCAGCGGCGCACCCATGTAGCCCTGGCGGGTTTTCCAGATATTGTCCGTAGAAACAACCAGTCTTGCTTCTCTGATCTTTCGCCCTCCTTTCCTTGGGACTGGATGTTGACTGTAGATGGACCCTTGGACCCAAGAAATGCCACCGTTGACAGGTTGTAATCCTCCAATTCTCGAGATGGCCTAGAGGATGCAGAAGCAACTTCCGCAATCTCTCTCCTCGCGAGTTGTAATTCGCGTCTGAAGACGCCTTCGCCAGACTCCATTTCCTTGCTCCAGCCTCGGACGCGGTCCATATCGTTGCCCCATTTAGCAAAGCTTACACCAGTAGCTTCCCGGGAGCGCCTCATATCCTTCCATTGATCCGAGGTTACTCGAACGAGGAGTTTGTCAATTGTATAGCGAAGTTGGGGCGCAAGTAGACAGAAGTCTAGAGAGGCCTTGAGATAGGCTTTTCGAGTTTCGTGAACTTGGAACGCGTCCTCTCGAAGCGATGAGGGCTCCTTCGTCTTGGATTGTCCCACATATCTAGCCAGTGTGGTGTCGAAGGTCTTTTGAGATTGTTCCAAGAATCGCCGGGCATCCTTAAAGTTTCGAAGTCTATCTGGTAAGCAGGCAAACTCATAGAGTAGAAGGGCAGTCCAGACTTACTCTCCAGACATAAAAGACTTGACCGGCTCCACGATATTACTATCCATTCTCATCATTCCAAACAGAGCCTGCGACCACCACTCCCTCGAGCACTCGCCGAACCTTTTCATCGCCAGCAGAGTATAGTCATGGTCGAGCACCGCCTCGGATATATTCGCAGGAGGGACGGATCGAGCGAGGAAGGCATTGAATGCTTCCTCAAGGGACGTAACATCGTGGACCAGTTTTGATACAGATTTGACATATGCATCGAGCCATCTTTCAATGATCTCCACCTGGTCAGAGAAATGAACTGCAGTCGCTCTGAACGTTGGAGAGTCGAGTGCGGCCTCCTTCAAGCCAACCGGGATCAGGCTCATGGACTTGCCAACAACCTGAACCGTAGGTTGCGGGGCGAGTTCTGCCATGTTTGGAGTTGGTTGCGAATTGTTAATGGAATGAAAGAGAAAATCCCATTTTGACTGGGATATTGGTTAATATTTCGGGTTGTAGAGGACATCCAAAGATGACACTACTTGCTTTCAACACATGCCTTCCTGCTGATGTTGATGTTCCGCGCCGCTCGTCATTGGCCGGCCACCTCAGGCCGCAATGTCCGTCCCACTTATTCATCTCAAAATAGTATATCATTTCAAAGACTTATTTACATTCAAATAAACTTACAATATTCTCAGCTGAATTGAAAAGTGAAACTCTAACGACAGCAAACGGGGGCTGGCTCAAAAATCTCAGGCGCTAAAGACCTGAAAATGCCCATCAGTAGCTCAATGGGCCCGAATTGACAGTGCGAGGACCTTACTATTGGAGTCTTTACTACACTTTAAGGTTGCTTCGCACTTTTTCGACGATCATTCTATAGATGGCAGTATTAAGTCCCTGTTACTTTCACATGTCAGTCATCTCAGTTGGATTCCAAATTGTAGGAATTATCGCGTAGGAAATGTAACTTTTGCAATGCCCTGTCTGTTTGTAAAGTATAGGATGAACTACAAAGCCCCGCTAATAAACCCCATTGTTTCTTATTATTAAGCCACTTCTTTGGCTGAGAGACAGTTAACAGTGAAGGATCCATCCACATCCCCATTCCCTTGCTCATTTGAAGCTATTGCATGAAATGAGCCTATTACTCTCATATATACGGAAGCATAAGCGGCTAAGCCCAGCGTAACGCTCATCAAAACATCATGAGTCGACTTCCTTCTTCGCGTCGAGTGATGGGAATGACAAGAAACATGGATCGAGATTCTGCTGCATATTGTGCACATTCAAGGAGCCTGGGGTGCCCAAAATGCTGCTGCTATCAAGGTGTAATGACAAAGAACGTATTGCGGTCTCAATGAGCCGAATATTTTGGATTGTAACAGATCAAACACATGATTGCACCACGTTTCAGGGAGAATTCTCCCAAAACACGTCTGCGATATTCCCTGTTTCTTCGGGGAAACCTACATGTACAGCCGCTGCACATCATATCGTGCGCTTCTTTGATCAGCTACGGAACCGGCCGATCGCGAAGATCTTTCTCTATCACATAACACTCTGAATATACGTGCACTTTGCACCCATATCGCTCTGATAATTCCAATTGGGGGATTAGCAACAGAAACAAAAAATTCAAGAACAATAAGCAAAAAGCGTGGTAATATCTATGGACGTCTTTAAGCAGGGCGTAAATCCCTCGCTTCCAAGTAAATGATGAATCAGAAGCAGAAGCGAAGGAGCAAATGGTCAAAAGAAGTTTAGGTTGAATGGAAATAAGACAGGAAGTCTTATCTTGGGAGAAGCTTCCGGGGTTTCAAGGGCATAAAAAGATATCCGTGGCTCGAACTTATCACAGGCGGCATTTACCCAGTTAAGGAATTCAAGCACCTAATAGGACAGCAGCTGCTACCATCTGACTTCCAAACGCCGTAGTCTTCAGCATATATATCAAAAGTGACTCGGGTGAGCAAACTTACTAGACATCTATGAAGGATTGGAACTTGGCGGATAGGAAATCAACCTTCGTCTTTTCCTCGAGCCCGCTTTTCAAACCTTTCCCCGAATCCTAAGATATCTATCCTATCCGAAGAGGCTAGTCACACAGCCACAGCTCCGTGTTTCACAGTTGTTTCTTGTTTCTTGTTTCAACGCTGCCGCACGACGTTATTCAAGCGAGCAATCTCCTAGCATAGCATGATTAGCTTGGACGATATGTAAATGGTGTGCATCGTAGGAAGGTGTCCAGACGCGACTAAGATCAGATCAGCACGCGCTTATACGTTCTTTTAAGGTTTACAAAAAGCCTGGGGTACCAAGATAGGTACGTGGTTCCGCGTGCCATGTACGAAGTAGGATGGGATGATGGGGGCTAAGCGCGTGTTCACTGTTCAGCGATAATTGAGTGCCGGCGCTATTCCGGCAGTAGTGCATGGTGCAACCTGGTACCACATTTGGAAGCAACTGAAGCATTTCGTCCTCTGCATACGGAAACGATCCCGAAGACGATTAATTATTATATTTCCGCGGTAGTTCAGCACTAGCAGAGTTGTAAAGATGAAGTATTACTCCATTACGGCCTCGCCCGGATCTAGCCTGAGACAAAATGCTATTGAAATTCAAATCTCCGAGCGCATTCCCTGCCGCAACCTCGCAAGGTACGGGGTATAGTACGGAAGTAATATAATGGTCGCTAGGCGGGAGTTAAGGCTTCTTTATTCTACTTGGCATGCCTCTCCCTGAGTGTCTGCTGCCAACGGCCAGTCAAGAGTTCAGCGATGTTCCTAGAATGTTTAGTTGACTTCTTCACGAGTTTCCTTGGAAGGTCTAGTCCCTGCACGTCTTTCTTTCACCTGCATACCTTTCTGCAGGCCCGACAAAGTGTGAACGTTCTACAAATGCTTTCATTGGTAGAAGCATAATTCATTCCACTCTATACGATCTTCTGAGAATATGCGGTCGGCTGAAGTCAATCATCGTGTTGATATGGTAGCATCACCGATATAGTACCCAAACATACAGTATAAACTGCAGTGAGGTTCCTGATAGGATTCAGGAGAACCTTGTATATTAATGATCTATAATGCAATTTAAAGGACGGTTTGGGAAATGGAAGCGAGTAGATCAAAGGAGTGAGAGCAGTTGGAGACCCTGTAAGATGTGCAAAAATGCTCCGAGATAGATTGCTTGTGCAGGCAATGCTTGCAAGGTTGTCACATAGTGCAGGGCGAGTCGTGACTCGTGACTGGCGCCTTTCTATCCGACCCCGCAACGTTTAATCTGGAATAGGAAGTCCATCTCCGCGAGATGATGCACTTCATCTTTCGATCTTATCAAAACTTCATGAAGTTCGCTGTCGGGGTTTGAAGTGAACACTGCGGCTGAAGCCTCACAGCATAGTGGAAAATAGTGGAAAAGGCTGCAGAAACAAAACTCGAATACGAGTCGTTGTGTAGATTCATCCGAGTCGAACAACAAGAACCGAGGTTGGAGTTCTCTGTGTCCAGGGACGCTACTCGGTGCTACGGCTGGAGCGGTACGACGATCTTTTCCTGTTTCTTCATCACCTCTTTCTGCAAGCCCGCAGCAGTCTTCAAGGCTTGGTGTCAATTTGTTCGAGCAAAACTAACTCACACGGCCTTCCATATGCAGTTTATCACAAAGAGGAAGTACAGTACCCGCATTCAACCTCAATCAAGCTGCTTGAGCAACAGTCAGATTGATCTAGCTCTCGCTGGTCCACTTTTATATGATATAGCCCGATGTGGAGGAGCGGTTGCCGTCCACTTTAAGCCCTAGAGACTAGGATATGGAATCTCTAGTGGAGCATGAAATCATGGACCATTTGCTTAGAACGTGGGTGGACCACCAGAGTCATGGATGATTCGGGCAGAAAAGGAGCAAATGGGAAAAAATATGGGGGGCCGTTGGGGGCCCAGATTGGATAGCTCGACGTCTGGTCAGGGTACAGGTATCAAGGGTGTCATAGTAGCATAGCATTAGCATTGTCACGGGCCAAGCATCAGAATCTCGAGAAGAATAATGCTGCGCAAAACGTCTCCACACAAAATACAGATACATACAAGAGAACTAGCTGGGTGTGAGGCCTTACCTTACCTAGCTACTACTTCTGGATCAAAGCCCCAGGCCAGCACCTCACCGACCTCTTGAACTCAATCTCAGTATTCTCACCATCACCATCACCATCTTCATTATACCGCGGCGAGCCCCATCTTTCCTCCGTGCCTTCCTCTCCGCACTCGACGTCAAACATCAACTTCCCGCCCCAAACCTTATTTTCAACGCTTGAGCGAGGCCATTACGTTGGGTCTGCCACTCGTCCGAACCATCCCCGAGTCCTGGTCTGGCACCCGTTGATACCGAACCCACGCACTCCGGACGACATCGTAACGTTGTGGAGACGTCTCCTTTGAGAGAATATTGAGGCTTCATGGAATTCTAAGCTGCTTGTGATGATGAATGTCGAGGTTATCGTCAAGTACATTGACCCCACCTCGCAATATCAGAACCTGGACCTGGCCGAGGAGGGAAAGAGGCGGGGCACGAAACTGTAGTCGTCGCGACAGTGTCCTACGATGTCATCGAGTCAAGCTCCTGACAATTATCAACTGCACAATGCTTCAAATTTCCACGGCGATTCGGGTGATACCATCACCGTTGCGCCGGTGCACACAGAGCCTCTTGACCTTGAGGCCCTCATGATGGACAACAGGGCACACAACACCTCGCTTGTCCACCACACGACCCCGCCACACCTCGACGTTATCGGTAATTCACAGTTTGCAGATTTCTCCTTTCCTTCGTATACTGGCCTACCGGACAATGGATTGCATGCTGAAACCCAGCTGGGGCACACATCCGATCCGTATGCTCTCTCGGTGCACACCACAAGCCATCGTAACTCTACGGCCTCGCTGCATCAAGACCATCGAGCCTCCATGACTTCGATGCCCGGACTCCATCGAGGAAGTTTTAGCAGTAATGCTGCGATGGGCCAGCGGAACAGTATGAGCACGGGTTCTGACGAGGCGAGTCCAGTAAGCAATCGAGCTGGCGGAGGACTCGATGGCGCATATGGCGATGACTTTGGCCTTAGTAGTGGAGGGGCTGTGGATGGAAGTGATCTGGGAAGTAGGTCGAAAGAGGAGAAGAATGATCCCCATCCACCCTGGAGTGAGCTGAAGACTAAGGCTGGGAAGGAACGAAAGAGGCTGCCGTTAGCCTGCATAGCATGTCGGAGGAAGAAAATTCGATGCTCCGGAGAAAAGCCTGCCTGTAAACATTGCCTGCGATCACGGATACCGTGTGTTTACAAGGTTACCATGAGGAAAGCTGCACCACGAACGGATTATATGGCCATGCTTGACAAACGACTAAAGCGGATGGAAGAACGCATCATTAAGATTGTGCCAAAGGAAGAACACGGCAACACTTCAGTATCCGTGACGAGAGCTACTGTAAAACCTGCTGTTCCAGGGTCCGTCCCCGTTCGAAATTCTGCTACCAAGAAACGTGCTGCCGAGGAAGCTTTTGGTCCTGATTTAGACAACTGGTCGAAGACTGCAACAAAATCAAACATAGATATTGGTTCAAGACCTACCTCCATGATGATACAGGAAGCTGAAGAGAGCAAACTGTTGTCCGAAGGTGCTGAATACCTGCCGTCGAAAGACGTCCAACAACATTTGGCAGAGATCTTCTTCGAAAATATACACGGCCAAACATACCATGTGCTGCATAAGCCAAGTTTTATGAGGAAGCTAGAGTAAGTATCTCGTGTGTGAGAATTTTTTCGATAACTAATCAACTACTTAGAGGTGGGACGATACCACCAGTTCTAATACTTGCAATCTGCGCCGTAGCCGCCCGTTTCTCGGCCCATCCAAAACTTGATACTACCCCTAATTTCCTTAGGGGCGAAGAATGGGCCTCGGAGGCTCGAGATATCGTTATGAGACGCTATGAATGGCCAAACATCACCATTTTAACATGCTTGTTAATTCTCGGTCTTCATGAATTCGGAACGTGTCAAGGAGGTAGGAGTTGGTCTTTTGGAGGCATGGCAATTCGAATGGCGTACGCTCTGCAATTGCATCGAGACCTCGACTATGATCCGCTCAAACGCGATGGGACTGCCGCACTTAGCTTTGTTGACCGCGAAGTCAGGCGAAGGACGATGTGGGCCTGTTTTCTCATGGACCGATTCAACTCTTCTGGAACCGGTAGGCCTACCTTTGTTAAAGAAGACTCGATCAAGGTCCAGCTTCCAATCAAGGAAAAATTATTCGAGATGGATATGCCAGGACCAACCGAAGATCTGATGGGTAATGTGCCACACCCTGTTTCTCCGGGTATAGGTCAGCTCTCTGATGCGGGAGAAAACATGGGCGTGGCAGCATACGTGATAAAGTGTATCGCATTATGGGGCCGAATTATCAACTATCTCAATCTTGGTGGCAACGAACAAGACCCTCACCCAATGTGGCACCCAGATTCTATTTATAAGGATCTACTGAAACAAACGGAAACCTTCACTGCTAGTCTGCCAGAGGCTCTGCAGTATACCACCGGAAACTTGAAGGCCCACGACACAGAGAAACTAGCTAATCAATTTCTGTTCCTACACATCTCGATTCAGCAAAATATGCTTTTCATGAACCGATTTGCTGTCCCCACCCTTCCTGGGGGCCAATTGCCAAAGGATATGCCTAAAGAGTTTGCCAAATCGGCGGGCATGAAAGGTTTCGAAGCGGCAAACAGGATTTCAGAGCTATTGAGAGATTCCGAATCTTACTTTGTCACTGCTCCCTTTACCGGATATTGCGCCTTTCTGTCAAGCACTGTCCATGTCTATGGCGTTTTCTCGAAGAATCCTTCGATGGAAGCAGCAGCAAAAAGGAACTTGACAACAAACATTAAATACATGACGAGAATGAAGAAATACTGGGGTATGTTTCATTTCATGGCTGAGAATCTAAAGGATCAGTACAAGCATTGTGCCGACGCTGCCAGACAAGGCCCATGCGCCAGCATCACGACTCCTTCTTCAAGCGTTTTTCAATATGGAGACTGGTTCGATCGCTATCCTCATGGTGTTTCACAGTCTGATTTCGAAGATCCAGTGGTGGGAATCAAGAAAGAGAAGGGGGATGACGCAGCGCTAGGACAGAAGCCTGACTATCACACCGTGGAGGACTTTTTTGAAACCTTATCCCCTCTCCCGACACAAGATCGCGAGTCTGTAAAGGCGCCAAAACGGAAACAAAAGAAATCTCACCTAGGCCGGCAGGAGCAAATGGCGCCACTAAATACCAATGTGCCGAATATACCTCAAGCAACTCAGATGCAAATTCAAAATAGTCATCAGATGGCGCAAAACTACAACCAGATGAGCCCATCAACCCCTGTTCAGATGTACAGCCAAAGACCTTTATATGGTCACGAAGGGATGCTACCTCCACACCAGCAAGGAATTCTACCACAACTCGACCGCCAACTCGTTCTTGAAGCGTATGCTAATATGGAGCCGTCCAATGGTATTATGGGGTCGCCGAATGGCTGGGACATGCCAATGGGCGGTGGTATGGCCGGATATGTACCAGAGCCAACCAGTGCATGGTTCATGCCGTTCAACATGGAACCTCCAGAGATAGCTCAGGAGGATATATTCAATGCCAGCGGATATGGGATGGGAGGAATGCAAATAAATAGTGGAAATATGGGTGGTCACGGAGGCGCACATTGATGTTTATAGAGGATAGGGATGGCGAACGGTGTTTCGGCTTGGCGTGGCTACGAACGGTGAAATAAAGGGCGTATCTTGTACATTAGCTCAACGGGACATGTGCTCATATAAATAGTGCCCATATAGTATAATGAATGATAGTGAGTTGTCATGATGACCTGGTTGATAGTGCAGGCCTACAATGAAGTATATTTGAAGTAATGATGGAGGGGTAATGGATCTTCAAAAATGGGGCAAGCTCCGTGGATATAGAAAGTGGGGTTATTCCACCAGCTATGGAGTAGGTCAGGAACATCTCCATTTCCCAGCTCCGATTTATAGCTGCGCCGCAATTCAGCAGCACTTCGGCTGATACTAAAAGCATAGCCGAGAGCACACAGACCATACCAACACGTGCAGTGAGTGCATAACACCAACAGGAAGTTGACGATCGTCTCACGAAGCGTGAAGCGTAAAGCGTGCTTGCCTTTTCAAGTTTGAGGGATTTACTGCTAGGTCCGCGGCATGACCCTCACAGTACAGCCACATGCAATCCTGTTATGAGGCATTTTGGCCTCCTCGAATCTGCATTGCACGATAAGCACCGTCTCCCTGTCGCTGGAAAATTCCCGTTTTCAAGTCAACTCAATTCCAGCTGTTTAGACGCGCCGCATGCCACACTGATATGACAGCTATGAGCTATAGATGACCACGATTCAAGCAATGCATGCTACTGTGGCTTGCAATTTCTGTAGGCTATTCGCATTGCGCTCTGCTTGCGGCAAAGGTCTAAAATCAATATGAGAGGAGTATAAGTAGCACGCTTCCCACTTCTCCTTTGCCAATACCTTCTCGACCGTTTCTGTTTATTGCGTTCCCGAAGTTGCTGCTGTTTCTGCTTGCTTAGTACCAAATTTTCAAATGGCGGATTCTACACCTGTTCAACACGTTCAATTCGAAGACGAAATCCAACCTGTTAAGACGAGAAATAGTTTGACTGTCTACTCGCAAGCGCGCAATGACCACTCGGCTTTGGACGAGAAAGGGGAGCATGTTGATCTTGAGGATAGGGCGGCGGTTGAGATTGCAAATGAGGATCTGAATAAGAAGAACAAGCAGGTAAGTGGATTTGGCACGCTGACATTACCTGTAGTTCTTGCGCTGATTTACCTCCGTGCATTAGACTTACACAGGCTGGATGCTTTTGTGGCTCTCATATCAGTCTACAGGAGTCATCTATGGTGACATTGGTGAGTGTATCATATACCCTCCTTGTCAGAGCTCCAACTCTTTCGAGCACCGCGATATTACGCTTTCCTATGCATGTTGAGACTTCTTCACCTACAAGGACTATCACTTAAGACACCTGCGAAGAAGCATGGCTAATATCATGACTCCTAGGCACTTCTCCTCTCTACGTCTATTCTTCAACGTTCACCAGTCAGCCTTCTTACGATGACCTCGTGGGAGCACTTTCAATCATAATCTGGACTTTGACATTGATGGTCTGCATCAAATACATATTCATCGTTCTAGCAGCCGATGATGATGGAGAAGGAGGGACCTTTGCACTCTATAGTTTACTCGCTCGGTGGGCTCATATCGTTCGCCGCGATCCCAATGTTTCCGGTGCCTTGAAGATGGAACGGCATCTAACAAACGACTTGAAGCCTGTCAATAGGAGGGTGAGGGGTTTCATCGAGAAGTCCAAGACAGCTCAGGTTATTTTGAAGATACTTGGAGTTTTGGGGGTCTCTATGGTCATGTCGTGAGTAGCAAGATCTGGAATCGACAGAGCGAGCGCTAACAATACAAGTGATGGTGTACTCACTCCAGCTCAGTCAGTACTTGGCGCTATTCAAGGTCTTAGGGTGGCACAACCTGATATCTCCACTTGTAAGTGGGCATAGTAGACTTTTACGAACACACACTAACCACACCCAAGCTACAATCATCGGAGTAACTTGCACCATCCTTGTCCTCCTCTTCGCTATTCAGCCCTTTGGGACAACTAAAATTGCTAGTACATTCGCCCCGATCATCATCATCTGGCTCCTTTTCAACATGTGCTGTGGCATCTACAATTTGGCAATGTTCGATCACACAGTCTTGAAAGCCTTCAGCCCCTATTTCGCCGGATCATATCTTATGCGAAATAAGGAAGAAGGTTGGAGGGCCCTAGGAGGACTCCTGCTGGCTTTCACTGGAGTCGAAGCTCTGTTTGCCGACTTGGGTGCTTTCAGCAAGAGAGCTATCCAGCTGTCTTGGCTATGCTTTGTCTTCCCTTGTTTACTTCTTGCGTATATTGGACAGGCTGCATATATTTCACAAGTAAGTGACCCTTCTAACAGCTTGGCTTTTGGAAATATAATTGCTAAATCTGTGGATTTCTAGGATGCAACGGGAGAAGCATACTCCAACCCCTTCTTCAACACAGTTCCACCTGGATCATTCTACTTCAGTTTAGTCATTGCTGTACTTGCAGCTATCGTGGCTTCGCAGGCGATGATCACTGGGTGTTTTCAACTCCTGGCTCAAGTCATGAGGATGTCATACTTCCCTCATATTAAGACTGTCCATACTTCCAAGCTGTTCCACGGTCAGATTTACATGCCACTTGCGAATTGGCTGCTCATGATTGGAACTGTCGTTGTTACTGCTGTTTATAGCAATGTAAGTTGATATTTAGTTCCGCTGAAACAAATTATTACTAACATTTTGCAGACCACGAGGCTCGGGAATGCATACGGCGTGTGCGTTATATTTGTCACCTTCATAACAACGTGCCTCGTTTCCTTGGTTGCTATTATAATCTGGCGCCTCAACTTCCTAATCGTTATATTCTTTTTCCTGGTATTCGCTTGCTTGGATGGTGTATATCTCTCATCCGCCCTCACCAAAGTCCCAACTGGTGCTTGGTTCACGATCCTGCTCTCCGCCATCCTGTCTTTCATCTTCGTGCTATGGAGATTTGGAAAAGAAAACCAATGGGCCTCTGAACGCGAAGACCGTTTCCAGCCCGATCACCTACTGACTACCTCTTCCACCGGAGAGGCCAAGCTCACACAAAGCTTTGGCGGCATGCCCATATCGAAAGTCAACGGCGTCGGCATCTTCTTCGATAAAATCGGCGACATGGTACCCATCGTCTTCACACAATTTGTGCGGAAGTTCAGCGCCAGGCCAGAAATCATTATCTTTTTCCACATGAGACCCCTCTCTACCCCTTCCATACCGGAAGCAGAACGATACGTGATCCAACGAACCTCCATCCCCGGCTGCTACCGTATGACCGTCCGCCACGGCTACACGGACGACGTCCTGACGCCCGATCTGGGACGCTTGGTCGTTGAACACCTCATCCTGTACATTACGCGCGACCATACATCGACTGACAGCGCCAGTTCGGTAGAGCATTCGCCTGAAGTCCAGGCAGAGCTAGAGGTCGTGAGCAAGGCAGCGGAGGCGCAGATGGTCTATGTCATGGGCAAAGAGCAGATGACAATTAAAAAGGGAACGAATATATTCAGAAGGCTGTTACTCATGCTGTTTTTATGGATACGGGAGAATAGCAGGACCAAGATGGCTGACATGAACATCCCATTTGATAATTTGGTCGAGGTTGGATTTGTAAAGGAGATTTGAGCCGTAAGCGGTTGCTTGAGTAGTAGCATCTATGAAATGTGCTTTGTGATATAACAGCTCGAAGCCCTTATTCTTGAAGCCTTAAACCCTGATTATACTTTCTTTTAGGAGAAAGGGGAGGAGAATAGTGAAGAGCTGAAGTTGGGGTAAAAATTCATTACTCTCTCAGCTGAATGATGAATGTTCAGAATATACGGAGTACAATAAATAAATAAAAATTAATATATCAACCTTACAGCTCAACAGATCACCGCACCGCACCGCATCGTACCGTAACGTTGCTTTCGCGCACAGAGTTTATCTATACTGCATACAGTACCTACTCCATAAGGTACTCGAAGCAGCATAAAAGATGCAATCTCCCTTATCACCCCCCAAAATAGGGCCGATCCGATGCGTGTATAAATAACGATAATATAAACGCAGAGGCGAGGTGTCGGGAAAGGAAAACCCCCACAGTAAACAATTAAGCGCAGCAGGGTTTCAAGACATGCATGATTAGGGAGTCTATAGCCTACAGTACCTATAGCCAGAAACTGTAAATACGAAGTGATGCCGGTACAGTAGGTACATACAGACAGACAGTAAAGTCAAACATATAGTAATCTTACCATACGAGTACCGATGCATGCACAGCACATACATCCCTACATACCTACCTACTACATGCGCGTAGAATCTCTCTCCCCTCCCCTCATCCAAACGCACGGAAAGGGGCGAGTGGAATGGGGTGGATTTCGTTTCTCTTTCTCAGCTCACCTCTGCAGCAGGCAAGGCGCAGCGCAGCGCACTGCACGAATGGATATGTAGGTGCTAGCTGGCCAATGGGCTGGGGTACCGATGACCCGGAACATACCCCACCACACCTTTTGAGTTTTTTGGCAACTATATATGGGAGGTCCTGTAGGAAGAGATGTGTGTATGTATGTATGTATGTATGTATGTATGTATGTATGTATGTATGTATGCTAGAGGAGGGGGAAGGGAGATGTGTATGGGAGACAGACTGGATAGGGTGTGTAGAAAAGGGGAGAAGGTGAAGGTGAAGGAAAGGTTTATGCATAAAGGAGGAGGTTTGAGGGAGCTTACTATGCGGAGACTACCTTAGATGTCCTCTATGTCTGCCCCCCTACTGTATGAACTTTAACCTCACTGCTGACGACCACGACCACGAGCACGCTCCACTTATCAGCGAGCATTCCACTCCTCTCCTTTCGTTCCTCAGCCCAGTCTCGTACCCGTAACCCTTGTAGCCCCTCCACGTCCCCCTCCACACCAAATCCTTCCTCACGAGAAACCTAGCAAATAAAGAGAGAGTGATTGTGATGATATATCAATTACTGTTAACTACTAAAGAGCAAATCGTTTCTTTGACAACCAGTGCCCAGAAGACGACTCAGCGAACCCAGCATCCCATGCCTGTCCTCTGCACAGCAGTACCCAAGCGCTCCCGCACAGCAACACCACGCTACATGATCCATCTTATCAGGAACGACGAGAGGTTTGTTTTGCAGTGTTTTGTGCGAGAATATAGTGAGATGAGCTACAACCCTCTTCCCCCCTTCCATCCCATGCCATCAACCCAAGCCCGTCCCCCCAAATGCATGAAAATCGATCAGAGTCCCCGACTCGCGGGAAATACCATGTCGAATTCTGAATTCGAAGCTCCGGGCGCTGAGGTGAGGTGTGGAGTGTCCGTGAAGCGTCAGGCAAGTCGACTAATAACAATTACTTCGTCCCTCGCGCAGCGAAAAGCGGGGTTGTATCGTCTGTCTCCGTGCTCCCGTTTTCCTCTCCAAGTCCCAATCGATGTCGTCAGCACGCACGCGTGCTCTACTGAAAACCAATGAATCCACAGTCAATGTGTCCAGAGATCCCAGCCCGGTTTTTGCAATATCCCATATCCATATCCCGTTCCGTCGTTATCATGATTCCATTCCCATATGCCCAGATCTAGTCCAACCCCAAAAACGAAAGAGACATCAAGCCATCTATCGGCTGTAAGAGTAAGAGAGATCGTAGACATTGGTTCTGTAGCAGATATCATAAAAAGAGACTCGCTCCCAACAAGGATATGCCCCCCCTAAAACCGCAGACGACAAACGAAAGATGCTAGACAAAGATCGAATGATGAAGTCGGTGTGTAAAGAAAATCAAAACAGTGTATCCCGCGCGCCGTAGTCCTGCATTGCTGCGTGTTTCCCTTTTCTTAGGTACTTTCTTTAAACGTGAAAAGAAATAGCTTTGGAGACCTGAAAATGCTCACAAAATACCCGCCCGGTCCTGCCATATGCTTGGAAAGAAAAGAAAACACCGAGCTAGCGGCTGTGTCGTGCGTCGTGTTCCCAATCCCGATAAACAAAGTGCTCGCTACGCTAAAATAGATCAGATGATAAACGGAAAGACAATATTATGTACTTGATGAAGGAGAAAAAGTGAGTAAGGTAAGTATTTCCCGAAATGTCGCTCAATCGCTGATGAGGTGATGAATGCTAAACGCCGGTCCCGAATGCCCCTGCTGGAATGGTATCATATGCCGCTGAAGTACGTTCACGCTGCTGCTGCTTTGGAAGACAGGATTTTTGATTGAAGATTGTGTGGAAATGAAGTCGTGGAGGTCGTTGTTGCCCATGCTAGTACCCGATGTGCTGGGCATTAGAGTAATTGGTGAAAGTACTGGGCCTTGGTTGTCACATTGTGGTTGCATACTCTTGATAGCGGCTATCCCAGCCAAATCCCCCATACCCAACGCTCACGCCGCATTGTTGCTGCGCTAGCATGCTAGGTAATGGGAGAGCTGGGATTGGCGCGCTGATTTGGGCCGAGCTGAAGTAGAGCCCGGCCGAAGAGTATGGCTGGCTGAATGATGGTGTTGGAGAAGGGAGTTGTATTTCATTCAGTCCCATGCTAGCCCATAATGTGTTGTTGTCGACCGAGGAAGACGTAGTACTTGGGCTCGAGGGGAGCACTCTCCATGAGTCCACTGGCGCTGGCACTGAATTCTGGACGTTTGGCTGAGACCACCAGCTTACGCCTGCGGGGGAGCTTGGCAACAACGGAGGAGGGTGAACAATGTTTATGATCTTCGGTGGAGGAGGCAATAAGGGGAGGAATAGGCCCATGATGTTGGTCTTGACTTCATCACTTTTCCCACATAATAGCTCTCCAGCTCCATCTTCTTCCAAACCTTCCAAGGCAGAAACATGGGTCCTGTACACAAACTTGTTGATGGATTGGATGAATTCCTCGTGCAACTTCTTGACTTGCTGTTCCTTTTCCGACCAGTTGTAGGTGTTGGCGGCAATATCCACACAATGTATATCCTTGTGATACTCGATGAGAGCTTCTATCGAGTCGGGCGTGAGTTTATATGCGACCTCATTCCTTAATACCATATCCACATGTACAATGTAAGCGTCGATATGAATGACCTGATAGTTAAAGAGCGCTTCGATCAGAGGGTTTTCATCCTTGCGGAGCTCTGAGTCGGGGGCCTTTGGCAACATGAGTGAGGTGAGATTCCATAAAGCGTTCGAATTTGATAACGTTTCTGTTAAACATCTTTGGTGTTGCGGCACGCTGTTGAGAGGGCGTTTGACGCGGTTTATCCGCTTCAGCGTTTGCGTTAACCATGGCTCTACTTTTGAACTCAACACGACATTGACAGAGGATGCTCTAGGGGCGAAGGCCGCCGCCGAGGCTGGCAGTAATTGAGGAGGCATCGAGGCAAGGTGTGACAAGACAATAGAATGGGGGTATGGAGATGGGGCGACTAAGTATGTGCGACAAGAGATTCGAGGCTGGTGTTAGATTTCGAGAGCGAAAGTGACAAGCGGGGAAACACAAAAGAGAATATAAATAAAAACGAGTAATAGTAGATATTGAGGTCCCAAAAATAAGGGAATTATTTTGCGCCGATCAAGGATCGTGAAGGAAAGGGAAGCAAGAAAACTTGGCTGCGGCGATGGCGGGGGAGATATAACAGTCAGGCAGCTGATTCCGGCTTTGGAGGGCGGATGCTAGAGCGAGGCGAGGCGACGCGAGCCTGAGCTTGGTACAGTAGCGGTGGCCACCCCATCGCTGGGGCGAGGCGGTGCACCAGCCTGCATATCTGCTAAAACAGCCCTGCCAGACACAACGCAACGCGACGCAACCCACAAAACACTAGGTAGGTACTGTACCTACAGGCCTCTAGTAGTAGGGAAATGTATATGCAAGAAAATAAAGAGAATACTATGCTCCATACGCACTCGTTGCTACCGCACCGCTCTGCATCGCACGGAACTGTACGAAATAGTGTATTGGCCGTGACAGACGCAAGCTGAGGCCTGCATTAGGCCTGTCCACTTCTTCGACCGCCCACTCCACTTACCTTTTCAGTAATTCATACGCGTATAGCATATTCTCCGTTTTCCAGCGGCCCCAAGAATGACTGCAGCTGCGCTTCTGCCGGTTACAGGACCCCGCGTTACGGCTGTAGAAACTTCATTCGCGTGTCCAGGAAATTGTTTCAAACGCCATCCGCCGCGTTTGGTATCTTTGGAGATTGCAGGAGAGCTTCTCTCCAGTGAGAGTTCCATAAACGATATGTTGAAACTTCTGCTTTTAATTGAGGCAAGCATCAGAGCACCTAGCATCGAGTTTTGTGCCCCTATCCAGATCCAGAGTGAATAAGTAATATTTCACATACACTTCCGCAGGCGGATATGTCTGTGGTGAACTAGATGCTGTCGGCGACGATGACTTGCATGAGTAACGCAAAAGTGTACTACACTGCAGCACATATTGAAATATGTGAAACATTTCAACCATCTGCATCTGATGATCGTATTTTCATGGACCTCTCATAGAATCCGCCAGCTAATGCATTGCCCCGAGTCTTTCCTGTGTTGCAGTCTTGCCGACCTAGAGTCTTGGGCAACGTAAGATTGGACCTCATATTAGACCCTCAGAGCCAGAACAGGAGTCTCCTGCATGAACATACTCGAGTCTCTCCTGATTCTGATCTGGGGTAGGACCAACCAGGACACGCTCGAGGACTTTCCTTTGCGAAACTCGTCCGGGCCGCAAGTCTTGATAGTATCTCCCGGCTGCCCCGAACGTTGAGAGTAGTGTGAAGCCTTACTGACCTGTAGAACGCATAGAACGAAGACTGGACTCATCCCATCCTTGTTGGGAAGTGTGTTTAGTTCAAAGTCAGGTGAGATGAAAGGGCGTCCTGAATGTCTCATTCGTTGACGTTGATGTTGACGATGGTTGAGCTTGCGATGGCAGGGCACTTCTGGGAGGTAATTGGATGAGGGGTCGCCAGCCATTCGAGACTAGCCTGACCCCCAACTCCATGGTGGGCAAAGTGGAACTCGACGTAAACTTCGCTGCGAGAACAGTTCCACAGCATGCCGATAGATCATGAGAGAGAAAATATCTCAATTGCAAGCATGTATGTCTCGGGGCATCATCGTGGTACTTGCTTTTGCCGCACGTCGGTGCTGTGGCTATGCGCAATCGTGTTAATGTTGTGGCAAAGGTGTGAGTTGTCAAAGTGGCAGGGCAGAGCAGAGTTCGGCGGTGATACCGATACGAGCCACAGCATTGTTAGTCATCGGTACTTCCAAGTGTGGCTTGTACAGTGTAAGGCGAGAAAGAAATCTATATTTGGATTTACGGGGAGGCCGTGATCATCCGAAGCTGCAGTTTTCTCCGGGTTTTCCAACCGCATACAGTAGGAGTAGTAGCATATAAAGTACCGTAGTGTTAGCAGAGCAAGTTTTGTACGAAGTACATAGCCTTCAACTACCAATATGCAAGCACTATAATATGGCCCAAATCCCATGAAGGTTGTAGTTCTTCCTGCAGATGGAGGGATCAATACTGTAACGTGACAGAAGATCTTCGTTCTAGCGCTGATCTAGAAGACCGCGAACCACCAACGACATGTGAATGAAGGTCTGAATAGAGGGCAGCCCAACCTTGGACCCATACCTCTGGGCTTGGAAAGATGTAGCCAACCAAGACGGTGGCCCCTTTGCAATCACTTGACTTTCCGGCGGTCAAGTAACCATCACGAGACTCAACCCTGTGAGTGTGAAAAGAGAAATAATAATGAGCGGAAGAGAATCATCTGCCAACTTATGACGTGGGTAGCCACATTTGGTGTCCAGCTCGTACTCCGTATGGAAACGCTTCTGCCCGCCATAAGCCCGAGAGACGCACAGGCTCACCTGACCTCTTCATTGACATTGTGCGTTTACGAAGAGAGCACTGTACGGCTTGCCTCTTTCAGCACGGCCGGCGCATGTCATCGGCTTTCGAGTTCTCAGGAAACGCGTACCCTTTCAAGCTAGAGATCCTTTTACCGCCCTCTCTTTTGGTCCTCGAGTTGCAGCAATGTTTCATGTTTCAAGGGAATGGTTGCGTGCTGCCTGTCGATAACCGGCAGTCAAGAACCCTTGCCTATAATACTCCTATATGTTGATCTGCTGCATCCCGATGGCCAAAACTTGGTCGTCTTGGTCCTTACAACAACTGTATTCTAGAAGCTTATCTTGGTCAGGACCCTCTTTGGCCACTCTATGAATTACCTCGTAACTTTGCAGCACGTCAACATCCTATCATAGCTGAAGGTAGGGAGGATCCGTAATGCGAACACGACAAAGCATATGTCGACCTTGTTTCGGTCTGAAAGAGACCCGATGCAGAGGCAACGACTCGACAATAGAGCCGCGCTTATAACAGGGCAGTGCAAGTATACAGTCTTGTTAAAGCATCTCCTCTTGTTTGAAGGGTATACTTCGTAATATCAATGCTCTTCTTATGTGTAGCTTTTCCGTGAAACTGTGGAGCTTGAAGAGGGAAGAGGAGAAATAGGAATATAATTCGAAATAAGGAGTTCGAATCAAGCCGCCACACCCGTTCGGAGGTACTAGATTTCATGATGGATCATCCGCTTGCTTCGAATTGCAAGCATCATTCTGAGCCACGGCTGCACCCGAAAATCCCAACAGGGAGAGTTGGTTGCGTTAACAAGAGTCAAGACCTGGTCCTTGCCCACGTTCGTGGGTTTGGCTTAGCCGCCTGGAGATATTGCGCTATGCTCTGGATAGGATTCGGGAAACTGGACCAATATTATCCAAGAATAGAAGACGGCATTTGTTTCGTTCGGTTCTTCTGTTGGACATCGGGGAAAGATCGAGCTCCGGAAAGTTGACTTGGAATCAAGTGAATTTCCAAGTCAAGTTGAGAAAATGGACAGGTGACTCCTTCCTTATCGGTGTCCAACAGCTGCTCTTTCATTGTCAGGACCGCCAAGTTGCGGATACTATCTTTGGTACGAACCTACATTTGATGTGTTAGATCTGTCGTTACTGAATTTTGATGAGATTCGAGTCTAAAACCTACATCATACTTTTTTCCTCTTCTGGAGACAGCATGCCATGCCTCTGAGAACTTCCCAAGATAATCAGACTTCTCCCTACAGTATTGTTCCCACCCAAGCTCATGAGCCTCAACCATCGAACCACTTTCTTGTCGAGCCAAGTCGAGGGGCTGACTACACGTCTATTGAAGCCTTTCCTTCAAAACGGGACAATACCATCGTCGAGTTGAGCTGGAATTCAGTAGGCTCTACTCATTATTCCTTCCAATAACTCATCGATACTACGCAACGCAAGCATGAAGTACTTAGTGCAAAAGGTTTGCTAAGCAGTGCAAGTGCCCTCCTGCGCCTGCGCTTGACATGACGCGTATGTGTATTCCTCGTTCTTGATACTCTGATTTCTTAGCCTTCCCGTTCTATTAGGCTAGTGCCGCAGATTAACAGGCATATATATATCTGTTTTTTGCCAGTTTTCGTGGTGTTTACTGGAGGGCGCCGCTCAAAGGGGGCTGGGCGGTGGTGCTTTTCCCAACTCTCTCTTGGTTCGGGTTCGGCAGCTTCTATTTGTTTGTGGAGGACAACTACTTGAGTTTGTCATGAGGAATATTGCTTTCGATTCTCCTGGTCAAGTATGGTTTGAACGGGTCCCAAGGTTCTTGGGTGAATGCAATCTCCGGAACTTGTGAAAGCAATTCGATGAGTTTTTTGATATGCGGGCCTACCCAATTCACATTACTAGCACCATCAACATACAACATTATAATTACCGTTATAAATATGCCCTCCTTGAACTTATGTTCCTGGTTCTTCCACTCGACGACTTTACAACTTTTCCTCACTTTTGAATCACGAAAATACACCAACGCCGAGACAATGGAGACAGAGAAAGCCCCATCCTCCCTTTCGAGTTTAGGCATACAGCTGCTCTCAGTTGGATGGACAGCATGTGCTATAGGGACTATTGTTTTTGGAATGCGAATCTATGTGAATGTCGCAATGGCACGGAAGTGGGATGCAGCATTCTGGTTTTCATTAGCTACCTACGTAAGTCCTTAGTCTCCCTAGCCTTGCATATTTCTAACTTTCCCCTAGTTTTCCTGCCTTGCTGCTACAATCACTATGAATTTCTCTGTTGAGTACGGGCTGGGGAATCATGTGGGCGATTTGCAGGCTTGGTCTCGAGAAAACGCTCTGAAATACAGATGGTTTTTCAGCGGAACAGCTATCCTTGCCTTAGGCTTGGGCAAACTCGCGATCATTAGCTATCTCATAATTGTTCAGGGAGATACTTTAAAGGTTAAGCCTTTTCGCAAATGGTTTATGTACTTTATGGCTTACACCAACGTCTTTGTTTGCGTTGGAATTACCCCGCTGCTCTGGAATCAATGTCAGCCTGCAGCTAAACTATGGGACGAAAGTCTTGAGGGACATTGCTTTGGGCGTCGGCGCTATCAAATCTTCGCCTATTTCTGGTCAAGTAAAGAACCCCCCCCCCCAATATTGCTAGCAGGAAACATGCTGATAGAGTTTCAGGCTACGAAGCAGTTCTGGATATAGTTCTTTCGCTTTATCCCATAACCATCTTTTGGTCCCTCCAGCTCCCAATACACATCAAGATTGGGCTTGTCTTTCTATTTGCAACCGGCTTATTGTAAGTGCTGTCCATTTTAGACGCGACTGAAAGTCCGACTGATCTTGAATAGCGCTGCAGCTGCTGGCTCTGTAAAGACCTACTATGTCTATACAATCACAAGAACCTCAGACTCTACATGCAAGTCCTCATCTTTTCTCACCCTGATGTCTTGTCTATGGCGTTTGAATATCTCATCAGCTAACATCTTTGAAGACCAACTCAGCTTATTGGGAGTGTGGTTCATGTAAGGACTCTAACCGCTCTAAACTATCTGTTCGTGCTAACAGTTTTCCAGCATCGAAGTCTGGATCGTCCACGTTGTCTCCTGCATCCCTACCATTCGACCCATCTTCACAAACTTCTGCGAAAGGTCTAAAGAGTGGAGGGTGAGGAGATGGCTGCCATTGGGAGGCAAGGGGGGCACTCCGAAGCACAAAAACAAGCCATCTCGATCTTTCGCCACGAACATCACAAACATCACAAACGTCTGGACCGACAAACCTGATAACGCGCAGTGGCCACCGGAGCAAGAGGACAGTATAATAGTGACGACAAAGGTGGAGAATGCCTATGAGATGAATTCAGGCACACTAGAGAGACAGCGGAAGGATGGAATAATGATTCAGGATTGGGACCGCAGGTCCCCGTCCGATTCTCTTGTTTAAGGAAGGCTTGTTCAGCTGCTGGTGGATCAGCTTCGAGGATGTTTTACAAATTGAGTTGGTTTTGATTTTTTTGATTTATGTGCTTCTAGCGGAAGCATTTGAGAATTTTAGGTTCCTCGATGACTGGAAAATATGATATAGTAATATACAAAAGTTTATGAGGATACTTCTACGAACTTTTCGTCAAGAATCAACCATAACTCCGCTTAGGCCAGGCAAGCATTGGAATGTATGCCACTTCATCTCCTGAAGACTCATCTCCACTTTTCAAACAATTCGAGTTGTCCGATTAAATGTCTTGCGGAGTCAACTGAGAAGGTAGAATAGGGAGTCCCCACGTTGCCACATCACAACCAGCTTTCCAAAGCTTACCATTCCACCCCAATGACTTTCAGAATTGACGACACGCTGAGTTCTGACAGCAAATAGTGTCACGGCGTCGAACATGGACCTTAAAGTCGGGTCTCAAATCAAGGTTCTGCTGCTTCTAATGAACTGACCTGGAAGGCTAGGCCGGATTCTTTTTCGACCCTCCCTCATCACCGGCCCCCAGATGACAAGTAGTCTCAAGTTGTATTCGCGGGCGGATCCACGGCTACGGTAAAGATTCACTTCTCACCGCCCAGACATCCAAAGACCACACACAGCATAGAGCCAAATAAGCAAAAGCCCTGCAACAAATACATGGGCGGCCACTTGGCTTGGTGGTTCAGGTCAAAGTGTATTCCTTGTGTGAAGGAAGTCGGGCTACGACTTTAGGCTGACGAACTCGACCACGCAAGGGAGCCTAACTTGCAGATGGCTAATCCTCGATCGATAAAAAACCCCAGACCTCTTAGGGGTTGGGTTTCTAGTCAGACCAGCTGGTCTGAATAGTTTTGTTGGGATCCCTTTTTTTTTTTTTGCCGAGGGGGATAGGGGCGCTTTGTTTTTGTTTATTTTGTTTTGCCCCTTTTTAAAATATCGGCTGTTGGTTACGATGACTGCCCCTTTTCAGCTGCACTCGACCTCGAAAAGCTCAAATGATTTCGGCCAGTGAATGAATAAATCCTTGCTTTGCTATTTATTGGTAACATAGGAGTGATCACTTCCACTGCATAGCTTTAGATGCTATAGACTTGACTTATATGCAGATCCTCAGATAATGGACCTGTTGCGAAAAGGTTATGCCTCGTTCGCTTAGTCATCATTATCGCTAAGGTTACGTGAGGGGGAAGGAAGAGAAGGGAAAGGGAGGGGGTTTATAATGTATCGCGACCTAGACTTAGTAGTCTGATGAAAAGATAAATGAAAAACCAAGATAGGCTGTGTAGATGCCAGCATTACTTTTGCTCACAGTTAATTGAATGAACTGAAGGGAACTTTCAAATCATTATAAGAATAATAACACGTGACAGACGCACCATTTTCTAGGTGTTTTGATGGCGTTACTTTGATTGATTAGGGTCAAGTTCAGCTTACGGTAGACATACCGTCGAACATTTCGATATTGTGGAAGTTGGCGTGAGCTGAGTTTTTGATTCACTGTATTTGTAGCCAAGTGAGTCTCAGGTCCCATACAAAAGCCTCCCCAGTTATCTTCGATCCAAGTACAATGAGGTATCTCAAAACATCATGTGAATGCAAGAAGGGGTTTCAACTTCTCCTACACTTTGTTCCTCAAAAACCTCACTTGAAAACGACTCGTATTCCCCTGCTCTCCTTGCTTGGCTGGGGCAAGAACATGTCATGTGTCAGTTTGACATCGCGCTCGAAATTCGTATCGAATAGTTCCATGTCCTGATATCGGTGGAATAGCGTGGCCAGTGTTAAGGAGATTTCAGCTTTAGCGAGACTGGGATCTGTCAGCTAAGTAATATACGATTATCATGGACGAGATAAGATGAGAGGTCCCAAGGTGAGAGAGAGACGTACTTCATACCAATGCATTGTCGTGAGCCCTTGGAAAAAGAAACCATGTAGCGTTCGAGCCCTGGCGTCCCACCGTCTCGCTCAGACCACCGCTCAGGGACGAAGCTATGGGAATGGGGGAATATTTTCTCGTTGTGATGCATAATGTACGCCGTCATTGAGATTGGTGTGCCAGCAGGAACGACCCAGTCTTGGAACTTCAAATTTTCATTCGGAGCAATCCGAGTAAGGCGACTGGATGTTCCATAGGACAACCTTAAGCCTTCGAGAACAACATTCGTCTATTAGATATATCAGCTAAAGTAACCAGATTGTGCTACGAGTAGTGACCAACCAGGTATGGAAGCTGTCGTACTGCTGTCAGATTCCAACCTTGGCCGTTTGGCAGAAAAGCAGCTACAGATCGAAGTTCTGCTTGCAGTTTCTCAAGTTTGTCTAGATTGTTTAGTAGGTGGAAAGTGGTAATCGAAAGTACGTAGGCTGTTGCGTCGGCACCAGCGCCTATGACGTTCCTAATTGTCATTCGAAATTAGTATTGTGCTGCGGCATGAGGTAAACCAATGTTCCATGGGAGTTGAGACAAGATTTTGGGAGCAGTCAATTCTCAAAACATGCATAGAGAGTAAGCTACCCCTGAAAGATGTGAAGTAGTATATATATCTCCGAGGTCACTTACTGCCCTTCCTGCCACAAGTGGTGGACGCTCTTCTCACTAGCTGGTAAGTCGCTGTTGAGGAGTCTGGTTGGTTACGAAATTAGCAAGATTCATAACGTATTTACAAGGGTAAACCCCGGCGTAATCATTTGGATAAGAGAAGCCATGAACTTATTCTCTGGTTTGAGATAAGTCAAGAGAACGTACGTTTGGAAGACGGTACGTGGACCTCCGTTGAGAGAGACGTCTTCTCCACCGACCTTGCCATCATTGATATCTTGTACCATGCTCTTGATTTTCTGGGAATATTAGAATACACATCTAAATCCTGTAAGGAGGACTTACACGCTGCATATCCAAAACCAGAATCATTCCCGGATTAAGTTTTCCGACAAGCCAGTCAGGCATACTTGTCAGGAACCCGTACAGGAACGGAAATTGTTTAGTCCACTTGCTCATAGCGCCAGTTTCCTTGATTGTCCGACACCACAGTGGCGAGAAATCAGGGCTATCCAGATGATTCCAAGAGTTGTTCAGCGCATAGGTAGTTATAAAATCCGTTGCATAGCATAGATAAACGAGGCGCATGTTCAGAGGCGTCTTGAATTTCTGTGCCTCGTCAATCCGTGTACATAGCTTTTCAATCATCGTCCTCATGATGGGCTCAAGACGATTGATAGAGGCCATGGAGAAGAAAGGGTTGAGAGCTTGTCGACGCTTTCGATGCAAATAATGGTCAACAGTGCCGAATCCGGTATCATTGGTTCCAAACTGAGCAATCTCATAGGGGTTCTTGTCACGTACTGCCGTTCCAGAGAACACGACGTGGTAAAAATCGCCATTTGGGTCGTCAACGTGAAGTTCGAAGGGGCTGATTCTGACAATGGGCCCTGCCTTGTATTAGCTAGCCAATTCAGTCAGATATGTGGTTTGCAATTACCATATTGCTTATGCAACTCCTGGATTTTGAACATGAATTGTCCTTCTTTGACAACTTCGTAGTAGAATTCATACCAGAGAGTTGCTGCTGCAAGTTTGGGACCGGGGAATTTTGACAGTGGGCTGAGGAAGAGGCGGTAGATGATAACGGCAACGCAGTATAGGAGGCCAAATACGGCAGCAATTGCCAAGTTCCAAAATCCTACCATTTCGAAGATGACTAAATACAATAACAAAGATGTGGAATATCAATCTGGAGATGATAAGCAACTATGATTTATAATTACCAGTAGCTGGATGTGACGGCCAACATGTTGGAATATCCACTACATACCCACCTTTGGCGTTCACATGTTTCTGGATGCAATTCCTTGAAACCGGCGCTTAAGATTTATGTCGCCTCCCGATGAGGAAATCAACGGCCGGGTTACATTCTTAGAAAGACGTACATATGCTTAGCTTACTTGGCTCTGTATTAATCCCGTAGCAAGCCCTCTGGTGCCGCTGAGAAGATGTAAAAGTACAACATGGATCTGAAGAATACAAATTGAACCTGGACGTTCGTCTTGAATACACCGAATAGGAAAGATATGTCTAGGGAGTTCGAAAGGGCTCGACATAGCTAATACGTAGCAGATAATTGGAAAAGAAACAGACTGGCGGAGTTTCGCTCCCGACCGGTGATACAGCGAAGGAAACAATGATGGGACCAAACAAATAATCATCGAACAGGAAGGAGTGGGAACTCTACAGCAACCTCACTAGATGGGTCTGTCTGTGTTCACAAGTGACCTCCATATATCCTATGGCAAGAAGACGCTTCATGCAACCAACAGAGACACCAGTTTCATATCTCCATTTCCCAAATCAACAATAGATTCTCACTCATACGCCTTAAACCCCACATATGCACCCAACGCCTGCCCGCATCCCATGCTATGCCATGCCATCATACCAAACCCTCAAAACGCCTCCCTCCCAAACCCCCACGCTCTCTCCCCCCACCAACCTTTCTCTCTACCCAAACTCAATCCCCAAGCTCCAGACCCCACC